TCAACATATGAGAACATAAGAACATAAGAAAATAAGGAGTCTGCAATAGGCCGGTTGGCCTGTGCATTGCAGCTCCTGTCGAGAGTTACTACCACACTCTATCATCCATGAATCTATCTAGCCTCCTTTTGAAACTTTCCAGAGTTCCAGCACTTACTACAAAGTTGCTGAGCTTGTTCCACTCGTCCACCACCCTATTTGTGAACCAGTTCCTTCTTATCTCCCACCTAAACCTAAACTTATCCAACTTAAATCCGTTGCTCCGAGTCCTATCCTGCTCGGATATTATAAGAACTTTATCTATATCTCCTTTATTGATTCCTTTCACCCACTTAAATACTTCTATCATATCTCCCCGCACTCTTCATCTTTCTAGGGAATGCAAGTTTAGTTTCTTTAACCTATCTTGATATGGAAGGTTTCTAAGTCCCGGAATCATTTTCGTCATTCTTCGTTGTACCGACTCTAGTGAATTGATATCCATTCTATAATAAGGGCATCAGAACTTAACCACATAATCGAGGTGCGGCCTGACTAGCCCAAGATATAGTTGCAATAAGACCCCTGCACTCTTATTACTTACACTTCTAGATATAAAACCTAATACTCTGTTTGCCTTATTTCGAACATTAACGCACTGTTTTCTAGGCCGTAGGTCCGGGCTTACAAGTACTGTACCCCTAAGTCCCTTTCACAAGTCGACTTCTCTAGGTTGATGTTGTTAAGGCTGTATACATTGACGGTATTTGTTCTTCCAATATTAGGTACGCTGCACTTGCTGGTGTTAAATTTCATTTGCCATTTTTCTGGCCACTCCTGCAGTTTATTTAAATCCTCCTGTAGTGCATTTGCATCCTGCTCTGAATTAATATGCCGCCCTATTTTGGTATCATCCGGAAACTTACTTATGTCACTGCTGATCCCAGTATCTAGATCGTATATGTAGATTATGAACAAGAGGGGCCCAGTACTGACCCCTGTAGTAATATGAATGGTACCTCACACTAGAAACAGATGATGATGATGATAATTATGTCACTATGAAAAATGAGTATTGGAATCACGTAAAGATTAGTTAATGGAACACCTTAACTCTACCTGGGAGAGGGAAGGATAAGTTAGGTTAGGTTAGGTTAAGTGAGGTTTGGTTAGGTTAATTAGGTCAGCATTAGGGCGGTTAATCTTAACGTAAAAATAAAGTGGGAGTTAATCTTGTAGAAGTAGAGGAGTGTGTACAGACCTGCGCCCTGGTGACCGCCTGCTGCACGTCGAACAGTTGAGCTCCCACCGACGTATTATCCCGCTTGAGGTCCTCCGTCTGCTGGCGCTGTAAGAGCGAGGTATATGAGCTAATGTTATACAGTACAGTACAGTACAGTACAGTTATAAAGGTCAGAAAGTAAGGTATATATAACCAGTACAGTATGGTTGAGTTATTTCTTCAACACGGGAGACTTGGTACACTATGAGTGGTGCCTTCCTGACGGACAGTACCTGTTTACTTTAGTAACATAATGATGGGTCCCGAGGCAGCAGCTTACAGGTGTCCTTCAGCTAATTATTATGATTTAGATATTTTGTTTTACTGTACTATAATAAGGTAAGAATATGTATATAAGGAGAAAATCGATTTCTTACCAGCTGTCTGAGTCGTAGCTGCAGCTGGCTCTTCTCCTCCACCAGCTGCCTACGTTTGGCCTCCTGGAAGCGATGCAGCAGCGGATGATCCGGACTCAAGGTCTTGAGCACAGCTTCCCACGACGGTCCTCCACCTGCAGCAGTACCACGCCCTAAAACAGTCACTCACTTACTGCAACCTTCTAACTACCTCGACGAATCATTAGTCACCAATGTTATAATATTTCTTGATACACTAGACAGTTTAAGTCATGATTCTTCGTTGTCCCGGTGGCAGTAAGATATTACAACAGACAAACATGTTGATGGATCTTACCAACACATAGTTACATTGTTAGAGGTTTACGGAGAGGTCATATAGTGTTGTTGACTTTGGCCGTTTATTCTTACGGTGGTTTATGCTTACCTGTGTGATTCTAGTACACACCTGTCGTATCCTCCGCTGGTGGTGGTGACGCTGGTGGTGAGACCTCCACCTCGTCCCTCTCTTCACCATCATCACTTACACCATTCTCTGCTCCATCTGCCCCGCCTTCCTCTGCGTCGTCCGGATGTTGGTTATGGTCCGATACATCTCCCATGACGGCCAACACGGCATCGTCCTCCCCAGACAGTTGCTCCATCATTTCTTCACTTATAGTTAATCACCGAAACAAGGAGTGTGTTACCTGCTATATACGGTACAGTGTATCCTCCTCGCGGTGTGTACCACATCCACACTTCACACTCAAAACGTATACTAGTGAGCGTGTATTTTGTCAGTATTTCTCCGTGTCGCTCTTACGTTTTGTTGACACCTTCACCTGTGTCGTGTACGGGGTCTGGCGCAACACTCTCCACACTATGTTACCAACGTTTAATATTTTCAACAACAGATTTATTATACCTTCCAACACGTATAAATCTTTAGCAGGTCTTCCGGGTGTTCTCTGTCTTATAGTTTCCTTGAGTTTATATATAATTTCTTCTTGCTTACGTGGTGCAGCACTACAGTACAGTACACAGATCGTTATTCTAATCACCCTGTGACCTCTTGGATAACAAGTCCTTCTTATTCCGAAAAATGTCGCGCTTCGTCCTAGCAGAGTGAGACTTTACACATATCTTAGCCACAATTCTGAAAGTTGTTCGAAAGCTTAGTTACTTAAAGAACCAGAGAGACAGATCAGTGCAAGTCGGGTGATCTCGCTCAACCATCACGTGTGCGGCAAGTAGCGTCCCCGGTTGTCTTGGCAACCACAAGCAGGTAGCGTCCCCGTTACCGTGGCAACGACAGGTAACGACACAGACCTAATACTTGTTGACAACTGATCAATGACTTTATTTTACCATGGATAGACGACGACATGATTATACGTAGGTAGTAGGCAGCTATCAAACCAGGAAGGATATTGGAAGCATAATGTATTGTCTAATTAATGGTAGACCCTGCTGCCATATGGCACCACAAAAATTTTGACCAAGTCCCAGGTTGCTGATCTGACTTTCTGCCTCATTTACACACAATTGCAGGGTCTCAATTGTTTCTCTTACTTTGACAACACAACATACATATATCATTTCTGACGATATTTTTAAAAATTTTGTATTTATTTATGGCTCTTTATTATTAGTATTTTTATTATTTATATTAAGTTTTATTATTATTATTATTATTATTATTATTATTATTATTATTATTATTATTATTATTTTATTATTATTTTATTATTATACTTTCGCCCACCAGGTCTTGATGTGGGTCATAATTTATGTAATTTATGTACATATAAATAAAAAATAAACTAAAATAATATAATAAATATATAAAATTAATAAATATTGAAGGGATAACCGTGGTAACATTATGAGGTGTTCTTATTACCACCATGCTATTCCAGATGATACTAAATGCTTCATAATACTTTCTTGAGATATATGTATAGTATATATCAGGTGCCCAAAAGAGAGCTCAGGTTCTCAACTGGGGTAAAGGCAAGTATGAACTTTTCATACTTCCCTGTTGGGCACTGTAAACGCTTCTGCGCTTCACCTTGCACAGGATGTAAGGGGGTGCCCAATAAACTAGCCCCCTCGGGGGCAAATCTGAATCTGTTCTCAACTGGCTCAGCCATGTTAATATTGTTATTATTATCCACTCTGTATCTGTTTTTTTGGCTAAATAAACTGTTTCAATTCAAGTCAATTCAATTCAATAAAATGACCTGTGCCCGGGCGGGCTAATGCCAGTAAAAAAATAAATAAATAAGTAAATAAATACAAATTAAATATACTGTTATTAACAAAATAGTATTACTGTGCTGTAGTTTATCAAACCTAAATTAACCCGAAAAAGGCTTTATTGGGTAAGATTTTTGTGTTCAGATGTAGCCTTTCTTGTTATTTTCGTTCTTGTTAAGTTTACAAGAGTTTGTCACAGCACCTCGTGAAAATGCTATCAGTTCCCATAATGTATTGATTAATTAGAGGGAACTAGTGTGTGGTATTTGAATGAATGTGGGCTGACAGTGTGTAAACTCACAATGAACCAACTGTAAGTCTCGAGCATATAAAACAAAACATTTTCTAAATTTATTGTTATGTTGGGTCATGTATTCCGATCTTCTGGTATTTCTTGAAGATCAATATATCAGGGTACACCGACTTCATCTCATAAGACTATTATTGAATATCAACTATATCTTGCAATAACTGTTTCGAACGATACTTTTTTATCATAACTTCCCTTGTTCCTAAGATGACTCCCCTAAGCAAGTCTGCTTTTTCATGTTTAAATTAATAAAATGCCAGATGAATGCATTGAAACAGCAACTCAAAAAGAAATAATGGGTATTAAAACATTCGTGACTTGAGAAGTAAAGTAAAGTTTAGTGTTACCAGCTGGGAGACTGAGCTATAAAATGAGTGGAACTCTGCTTCACTAACCGAACCCCGAACCCCTTAATTATCTATAAAGTAAGTACAGTATCGCATTTTTTTTAATAAAACGTGATTTTTCTGGTAACTCATAATACTAACATCATATATTACTTTCCATATCCACATAAGTATTTTACAAACATTTATGGGGCTTGAAATATAATTACTGGGTAAAACTGCAGTTTCGGACCATATGGCTCTCGAGTTGAGCAATGTGTGTTTCCGATGGTTCAGACAATTTTAAGACACTTTTCTATGACGTTTCCGTTGCAAAAGTCCTAAAATTATCTAACTTAGCCTCCTAACCAGGGGGCTGCGCCCCCTAGATCCCCCGGTAATTTTAGGTAATTTGCGACAGAAACATCAGAGAAGAAAAGTCTCTTAAAATTACAAATTTATCCTTTGCCGGAAAATTATTATTTTTTACTATTCTTAATTTGACCATTACATCCTGTGTTAATAAAGAGTTCAGTAATGTTATCTGGGTACTGTGTTCGGCTGCGGTAGTCTATAGCTCCATGGTGTGAATGACTGGCTATAGTAACACTTGACACCTGTGAGTCTACGTTACTTGTCCACCCGTGCTTTAAGACTTCCAAAGAGTAAGTTAAAACACATAATATAGTGGATATATTCTCTCATTACATTTATGTAGAATATTAATATAAAATACATGGTTGGCCCCAAGAGGAATGTTAGTCTGTACCTTCTATCCTGAGAGGTTAGTACTTCGTTGGCAGTGTAAGAGAATATTGGGCAAATTAGGATTTGGGTTTATATTCTGTAGTGGCTATGTACACAATTTTATATTGATTTTTATATAGGGCCAAAAAAAGTAATAGTGGAGCAGACGCCATGAAGGATGAGGGAAATAATAGGGTTAAACACTGTGAAAAACTGTTCATTTGGCACTAAAAGGTGTATCTATGTGCTTTATATGGGAAGAAAGTAATTGTTTACTGTAAATATTTTGTGCGAAAAATCTGCCACTTGGCGCATTTTGTCGTCCTCTGTCAGTTTGGTTCAGTAACTGGCCTTACCACGTCCACAAAAAGGGTAAAATTACACAATGCCAAATATGCTGGATGGGTGTTTGTGTGCTCCAGGAAGTTAGGTAAGGTTTGGTAGGTTTCTGTGGTTAGGTTAGGTTCTAGTAGGTTCTGTGCATTGTTATATCATTTTTTTATTATCATTCAAAAAATATCTGGAAAAAATGAACAAAATCAAACAACTCCTTCTGGTGTTAGCCGTCTGCTCCACCTTTACCCCAAAAATATAAAAATACTTTACCCTATAGCGTCTCCATCGGAAATTTATATTTTGAGTTATTTTTGCTTTTCGATTTCACGTAAGTGAGTAAAAGTTTGTGCGGGTACACATTGTTTACATGTTACTCAGCCAATCAGCAGAAGTGCTGATATTATATGATACTTGTGCGCATGTGCTCATTGAAAATTGATGAATGTCGATTTTTTTTTTTTACTTTTCGATTTCAGGTTTGGTTCCTTTATTTATTATTATATATTTTCTATTTACAGTCTCTCCTCGATTTAAAACGGGGTTCCGTCCCGATGACCAGGTCGTAAGTCGAATTGGTCGAAAGTCAAAAAGGCGAAAATAATACATAGAAATTCTGAAATGGGTGTCTCTTTTTCTTCTCAGCACCATGAGAACTCTCACTTTTATGCTTGCCAGCCATTTTAAAGGGAATTACAAACGAAAATTTTGTTAGTACAGTACACAGCGCGATCACTAACGTCGGTACTAGAAAATACGTAATTTGAAAAATGTTTTATACTACCACGGCAGTCATATGTCTGGGTTGTCTTAAGTCGAGTATGTTGTAAGTAGAGGAGTACCTGTATTTATGTATTTATTATTAATATATTTTTAAGTCTACACACTGGGGGTTCCAGGGGGGCAGAGCCCCCTAGATAGGAGGATAGGTCAGTACCTTCTGGTTTCTCTGGTTAGGTTAAGTTACACATGTATACTAATATTTGAGAGTTGTTAGATTTGGTTTGGTCAGTTTTTTTGCATGTTTTTACCCCACAATTTCCCTTTACTTCTAATCTCAGCCCATTTTTTATGATCCAAATTCAATTTTCTTAATTGAAATTGAAGTCAAAATATTTTGGTGGTTTATTCCAGATTGTTGTCCCTGCCAGATAATGGGAGAAACAGCTATCCTGCAGTTTGCTCCTTTCAGCTCAGCTGTTGAGGCTGGCTTCTGGCATCAGTTCACACAGTTTAAGGTATGAAACAAGTCAGATTACAATATTTGTACTGTACAGCATAGCTTAAATAGTATTTGTATTTTTTCTAACAACCTTGTGCTTGGGACATGTCAAGGCAATTTTTTCTTCATATTCAGTAAAATACTGTACTGTATATCCATTTTATCTGTTAATGCAGTACAGTAGTACTGTATATGTAATAAAAAAAAAGGATCATTCATATCTATATCTAGTGGTGAGTGTTACCTCCAGGTAAAACAAGAATTCTGATAAAGAAAATCTAAAAATCTATACAGTCGTCATCATAAAGTTAATAGTCAAAGCTTCAACAACAATATTTTGCATATTCACTACTGTAACTAAAGCTCCTCATTAGTTAAGTTTTTGTTGAAGTGAAAGAGGTGCTATCTTCTGGTGATGTAGGAGAGACTGATCCAGAGACCATTTACAATTTTAGCTTTTATGTATCACCTGAAGATTAGCCCCCAAGTGCTTACCTGAAGTTTGGCCACCTCACCTTAATCAGCCTCAAGTTTTACCACCCTGAAACTCTCTGCGTGATCTATAAAGACTAAAATTGCAATTGGTCTTGTGCATGGTCTTCAAGTTGGTATTACACTGCTATTGGTATCTTCTTAATGTATAAGAAATTGAAGATATTACTGTAGTTTTTGTTAATTATTACATTAACCCAAGGAGATTAGAGGAAGGTGAAATAATTATAAAAGAAAAAGAACATGGTATTGGTTGTGGTACTGTGTGGAAATCCAATTGGTTCTTACAACCTGTTGGAGACTACAAGAAAGAAGCTTTCATATTTTAACTTCCCTTTAAGCTTATTTATCTTATTTACTCTGAAGGAAAATATAGTTACAGTTTAGTACTGAATTTGTTTAACTGGTCTGTGGTGATCAACAGCATTGGATTTTGTGTTTTCTTCTCTTCTGCCAAAATGTTTACCTACCGGTAGGCTATTTTCTTATACAGCTGGATGTGCTTCATCTAAGTGAGGAGGCAGTACCTATAGCTGGGAGTTATGTTAACAGTGATGCTCCAGGACTTCCATCACGACTTAATGTGGAATATGATGCATTACAAAGGTTTGTCTGAACTATTAATTTGTCTTCCTGAAGTTTAGATGCTGCATTAGCCTTTCTTGATAATTTTTATGATCTAAAATTATTTTTTAATTATTGAGTTGAGAAAAGTACACATAATGAATTATTAAGAAAAATGTGAAGCTGAGAATATTTAAAAGTCATTAAGAAAGCGAGACTTTCTCTTCAAGGAAGTACCGGTATGTGTAATTGGGGAACAGGTAAAGTTGTAAATACTTAATTCAAATTTTTGGACTGGCCTTTTCTCATTTACCTTGAAATTGCAAAAGTGTACTTTATACAGTAATCTCCCCAATAGCCGGAATAATTGGTGCAGAATGGTTCCGAGTTGGAGAGATTTGCAGTTATTGAGACAAATTTTCTCCCTGGAAAAAATCACACATCTGGGGACTGGCAAATGTTTCCATGTCGGACTGCAGTCAGACAGACACAGCTGTATTTATTTTTGCAAACACTCCTGTACATGTACAATACAGTATACTGTATTGTTAAATAAACAAAATATACTACTGCAAACATTATATTGTACTCGCCAGCTGAGTAAAATATTCAGCCTCCTTTGTGCTGTTGGATAAATTTCATCTGACAGTTGCATTCATATTCCAGGGACAGACTGCCATCAAAATTGTCATGTGCTGCTGTGGGAACACTCATTAACACTAATACATTGGAAGAGTTTCGGAACAGAACCAAACAGGAATTGTTAAAAACATCGGCCTGTGGTCTCTGGGATGCCATCAACTCTGACCGTGCATTGGAAAATCCTTCCCTTTTGTCCTCCTTTTTAATGTTTACTTTTGCAGTAAGTGAATCTCATAGTTTTTGTAATATTTAGTTGTATTACTTAATTCTTGAACTCTTATACTCAGTCTCTAAGGATTCCCCACTTTCCATATCTGCACAAATATGGAACACAAAGATTATGGAACTTCCACCGCTGATGGCTGCTGTTTAAGGGTTAATAAATTTGACTACATTGACTGTTTAATAACAGGGTAACCAGTGTGAGATGTGTTTATAGTGCATGGTACTGTACTGTACTATGTGTGTACCATTACAATGTTCTTTCTTTAGCTTGTTCCCACTGTCAAGACACACATCAGTGTTTTACTTTTCCTGTGCTGTAGTGTCCTACCTTATTCAGATAGTGCTTTTTAATTTAATTTTTAATTGAATTTCTCATCTGATTTTACCATCTAAGTTTATCATTTGTAGGTACTGTGCAGTACAGTACACATAGCGGTAAGTCCCCTCATTACTTATCAAAATGAAAATGCTGAAACCAGATACTGTATTGTGGAGAAAGGTGTCTAGAAAGAAAATAAATAGATTGTATTTAATTCACAGGACCTGAAGAAGTACCACTATTACTATTGGTTTGCCTTCCCAGCATTTACATTACCAAAGACCATCCCCTTGGTGAAGGAGCCACAGAATCTATCTGCTAAGTTAACTACTGAACAGGTCAGCCTTTTTTTTTCTCTTTATAATTGGACATAACTGTAGTGAACATTTTTAATTGAGTCTCATTTGATCTTGGTTGATTTTATTATTTTTGAGCATGTGAATTCAATTATTGTTTACGTTAAGGTAAATAGTGCCTGGACAAAACTGCTACATAGTTTTTTCTGTGCCTGTTAAAAGATATATAACTTTCATATAGAAAATGAATGTACAGTATACTCTACCTCCACACAAAAACAGTTGACAAACCATCCATCATAAAGCTGTACTGTTACCCAGGCTATTTTATTAATTCATCATTGAACAGGATAAGTATGATGGCTAAGACCCTTTAATGCCCAGGGATTTTGGGAATGGTACACGATTAATGGCTTGCTCTTTGGTGGTGCTCTTGTAGTAGTTTATGTGCAGAGGATGAAGAGTGTGGTGTGCAGATGTGTATGTTTGACCTTTAGCATGTTATAAATGAAACTTGAATGGTAAAAGTATACTGTTCATGAGTGGATTCACCTCTTTTGAGTCTGGTATAAATCAGGACAACCTGTTGTTGACTTTACTGTAGCTGTTTTAGGTGCTGTAAAACATTGGCATAGGAGGAAATAATCTACATATTTTGTGTTAACTTACAGAGTGCTTCACTTCTGCTGGTTTGCCAAGGCCTTGGTACTGATGTGGATCGTGGTTTCTTCACAATCACTCAAAGTGGCAATGAATTTTGCATTCACCCACTGAAGGATTACCCACAGCTAAGAACTACAGCTAATGGAGTAAGCTTTTTAGGTTAGGTTAACTTAGGTTAGGTTAGCTTAGGTTAGGTAAATTTTAACATTTGTTACATGTGCTCACAATATACGGTAATGAGAACTCGAGTTAGTCCAGGTGCTGGGAGATTACTTTTACTTTACTAACTTGTCATTAATTTAGGGCAACTCACATATAGTCAGCAAGTGTACAGGGTGATAATCAGTTCTTATTGACCCAAAACTTGTGACTGGAAACTAAAAAGTTGGTAAATTAATAAATTTTATAAACCTTCACAACAGAACAAGATTTTTCAAACGGAAGAAGTTTAGGGAGTGTTTGCCAGCATGTAAACCATCACACTCTACTTTGTTCACCTCACTTAAGACTCCCGGATCAATACCTCAGTTCTGTTCATACGAGTCTTTAGATCAGACATTATATACTCTACCTCATTCTGCTCTCATTGGAGGCTAAGTGCTTCCCCTAGATTCCATATTTCACTTTTCTCTTTTTGTTGGTTGTTGTGTTTTGTTGAAGATTGTAATGTGAGTTGCAAGATTATCCAGTGTGTTTGGCATGAGTGGCCTCTCTGTACCAGCAGAGTGCCCTGTATGGGTATTTGATTGCATGAGCTCAGCTTGTCGACATTGTTTTTATCCAGATTTGAGTGTGTGTCAAGGTCTCGAAAATTATTGCAACCTAATGTATGAAGAAACATATTTTTTTCATGATAGAGAGTAAAGAGGAACATTTAAATTAAAGAGAGCTATAAATTGCTGATCAGTTATAGTAGTTACATCTTGTTAATCATGATCCTAGTGATTCCTTATGACATGATTCTGAGAGGTACATTGTTTATTACAACTAATATTGAAATTGTTGTTTAGTTTAAATAGACATTATTAATAGGTAAAATTTTAATAATCATTTATTGGCTCTTTTGACAATAGGCAAACAGAGACGTGTATCTGGTCTTCTCTGACCCTTGTACACTGCCACAGAACCCAGGGTGGCCACTGCGCAACCTGCTTACATTGGTGACTCTAAAATGGTAATGTTTGGTCATGTAACCCTTGTCTTCAGCAAAAATAACCTAATAGTTGAACCATTTTATTTAATTATTTATTTATAATTGTGTCTCCTGTCCCATTTGGAGTAAAACATGTGTACTGTACTGAGTCCTGTAAGAGAGGGAAGGAATGAAACTTTCTGTTTAAAAAACTTGGGGACACATATACCATGCGTAGTAGGTAGTAGGCAGCTATCAAACAGGGAGGTACTACCGCCTGGGAAGATAATGGAAGCATAATGTGTTGTCTAATGGTAGACCCTGCTGCCATATGGCATCACAAAAATTGTGACCAAGTCCCAGGTTGCTGATCTGACTTTCTGCCTCATTTACACTTAATTGCAGGGTCTCAATTGTTTCTCTTACTTTGACAACACAATATACATACAATATTTCTCACTCTTGATATTTTATTTTTTATTTTTTTATGGCTCATTATTATTATTATTTATAATTTTTATTAATATTAATATTTTATTTTATTATAATTGTTATTTATTTTTATTAATTTTATTATTATTATTATTAGTATTGTTAGTATTATTAGTATTATTATTATCATTATTATTATTATTATTATTATTATTATTATTATTATATTATTATTATTATTATTATTAGTAGTAGTAGTAGTAGTATTAGTATTGTTATTTTATTATACTTTCGCCCCCAAAGCCTTGATGTGGGTCATTATAAATGACCTGTGCCTGAGTGGGCTAATGACCGTAAAAAAAAAAAACTCAAACTGGGATCACATTTTATAATTTTATGTGATTATTGTACAGGCATGAAATTTTTTTCAAAATGACTTCAAGTTACAATACATTCATTTCTTTTCCAATCTCGCAGGCCCTTTCGCTTTATGAAGCAGAGTAGCTGAAACCAAGAACATATTTATTTTGAATTTTAATTAATTATTTTATTTATTTTTTTGAACAGGAGTTGGGGGGCCCCTCCTAGAGAACCTTTAGGCCATTTTGATTGTCCACTCAGAATGAGAGATCATGGTTTACACTAAGTCAAGGGAGTGTGATGGGTCATGATGCTGTGTAGCTCAGTCCTACTGCACAGATCACATTTCATTCGATAATTTCTAAATCACATTTTGTCAAGCTCCCTGGGGATGGATTTGTCTGTCCAACTCCACATTTCATTAAACTAAGTGTATACCTCATTGGCACTGAGGGTTAGCCTGGACCCAATAGTTACAAATGGTCAAGCTTTTCAAGGTTTGTTGTTTGAAAATTTGTCCTAAATATCAGGCTTGAAATCTTTGTGTATCAGATAGAAAATAACAATTTGCTTATACAGTATCTGTAAAGTTGCTCTTGAATGGTTCAATAATTGCAAATTTTTAAAAAATGATTATTGGAATATATTTATATGTGATGGAAGATTAATCTTTCAATAGGTCAAAACACTGGTCCATTTACAAGATTCTTTGTCTGCGAGTACGAACAAGACATGGAGTACAAGATGCAAGTCACAGTCTTTTTGTTGATGTGGATTTAGGAGGGTTAGTGGGTCAAGGCAACACTCCAGAAATGCCACCATTCCTTGGCTGGGAGAGGAATGAAAGGGGGAAGATGGGACCACGCCTAGTGAATCTGTCTGCAAGCATGGATCCCACAAAGTAAGTTCTGTGACAGTCATTTCAGTTAGAAATTTTAATCTCGTGTGTATACACAGTATTGAGTTACACTATTTATAACTGGTTGCTTTCAAATCTAACTAATTTTATGAATTTAACCTTTTAATTATTTAAAGCTGTCGGTCTGTTAATATATTCCATGTAAACCTCTCTGACACCTGTAGGCTTGCTGAGTCTGCTGTGGACCTGAACCTAAAATTAATGAGATGGAGAGTAGCTCCCCAGCTTGACCTTCCCATCATACAAAACACAAAATGCCTCCTCTTAGGTGCAGGAACTCTTGGCTGCTCTGTGGCACGTTGCCTCCTGGTGGGTCTCAATATGTTTTCCAGATTTGGAGTTAAGAATGTGAATCTGTGTACAGTATTTCAATATTGTAGGTTACCCACCTAGCTAAACTTTGATTCTACACATTTTTTTTAATGAAATTTAAAGTTATTATTAAAATTTGTGTGTGTCCAGATAATATGATAAGTAAACCTTGGTATTACTATAAGCTATTGGAAAAAATTGGACAGATTTGACATGAAATTTTGCAAATTGCAGACAAATTAGAAATATCTGTCACTGGACAGGTATTTTGATTTATCTCATGTGGCTTCAATTTTTGGTATCCAAGTGTATTATTTATTTAGGATATTTAGTGAAGGAATTGACCAGTATATACTGTACAGTAATTAAAGATTGTTATTGATTTATTATATGGCCTTTTATTTTAATATAAATCAGGAAACCCAAGTAAAATTACTTTGTAAAGGCTTTAATCACAGTCTTGTCTGTTTTCAGAATATATTAGCATTTTTATTTAACCTCGTTTACCCATGTTTCAGGGTTGGGGTGTTCGACAAATATCGCTAGTAGATAGTGGGAAGGTATCATTCAGCAACCCTGTACGGCAGAACCTCTTCACCTTTAATGACTGTCTGGATGGTGGGAAATATAAAGCCACAGCAGCTGCAGAATCACTTGCTGAGATCTACCCCAAAGTGGTGAGTGACTTACCACATTTAGTAACTTTTTTGTTCTTTTTTTAATTTTTTTTACACTGGCATTAACCCCACCCTGGCACAGGTCATTTTTAATGACCCACATCAAGCCTGGGGGGTGAAAATATAATATAATAAAATAATAATAATATTAATTATGATGATGATAATAATAATGATAGTAATAAAATTAATAAAAATATATTAAATAAATAACAATTATAATAAAAGAAAATACAGTATTAATAATATTAATGATAATAATAATGATAATAATAAAATTAATAAAAATATTTGAAAATAAATAACAATTACCGGTATAATAAAAGAAAATAATAATAATAATAGTGATAATAATAATGATAATAATAATAATAATAATAATAATAATAAAATTAATAAAAATATTTGAAAATACGTAACAATTATAATAAAAGAAAATAATAATAATAAAAGTTTATACAGGTAAAAATTTTAAATACCCTGTAATAATAATATTACCCCCTGTAAAAATAAAGAGCCATAAATAAATACAAAATAAAAAAATATAAATATCAATAGTGAGAAACAATATATAGTATGTATGTTGTGTTGTCACTAGTAAGAGAAACAACTGAGACCCTGCAATTGTGTGTAAATGAGGCAGAAAGTCAGATCAGCAACCTGGGACTTGGTCACAATTTTTGTGATGCCATATTTCTTATCAGTGGGTCCCTTTGTATTAGAGCAGTGGTTCTTAAACTGGGGGGTGCGCCAGAAGATTCCAGGGGGGGCGTGAGCGGTCAGAGAGAAAAGTCTGGTCAGGAACTGAACGCGTCTTGTACACGATTGCTCATCCCTCCCACTCTATAATAACCAAGGGTTGCATCCGGGCATGTGGGGGGGGGGTGTGCGTGGGATCTAGGACTTATGCAGAGGGGGGGGCGCTAAGGCAAAAAAAAGTTTAAGAACCACTTTATTAGAGGGATTATGTCATTAAGATTTAGAAGTGTCTCACTTACATGTTAAACAATAGATTGATCTTGATACAGTAGCATCATATTTAGGCATAGTCATTTGAGAAAAGTAGCATGATTAATAAGGTAATTATTTTTTATATGATTTTAATTACAGTATTTGAACAATTAACTGTATTTGGAAGTCATCTGCTCAGATTCAACATAATTAATCAGTGCTTGTTTCTTAACACTATATATGTTTTTCTTATTTTTTAATGCCATATTTTTATTAATGTAAAAACAAAGTGTTTTATTATTGGATATCTAAAGATATTTCATTGACTGAACAATTTTTGTGGGTAACTCATGTAATACTGCTAGACCAAATTTGTGGGGCTAGAAGTCATGTGAGTCTCTGATATACTATAGTGGCTTAGAGCTGCAAACTGCATCTTTTTCCAACTTTAACTTGAACCCTTACGAGGCTTCTCCCAAGAAATATCTGTTGTCATGGAAGATTTAAGGGCCATATGAGTCATGGTGTTATCATTCCTCTTAACTTTACTCCTCTGTCTTAGCTACAGCTGTGGGACATCTGAACCAACCTGATAATTATGAGGCTTAGTTTGGGGTTACCTGAGCAAAACCAAAGTGCTTTTGTTGCACAGGTGCTTCTCTGCATTTAGACATTCAACTTACAAACTTTTAGAGATTATGAACAAATCTGTCCATGTGTCCTTTTGACATATTGTTAAAGGCAGGTAAGATATACTGTAGCATAATGTGCTGTATTTATTATTGGGATGTACTGTAGCTGTACTGTACATCCTTTATTTTTTTACGACTGTATATGTTCAGTATCCAGAAGAATAAAGTTGGACTTACAAACAAGCCTCAGGAATGTAACTTATTCGTAAATAGAGGAGCAGCAGTACATTATAGAGCTGTTCCTCACAGACTTGGGTATAAAATAGGCTTTCAGAAACAATCCTTTTAGACTAAGCCCAGCTGGCACAGGTCATTGTTCCAGTGTTGTTATCATCACCATTTTATAGTTCTTATCTCTAAGGTAATTGTTCTCACTTTCTCCTCATGTCATTCTTGGCCTGCCCCCCCCCACATTCAAACTCGTGCATCTCTTAATCAACCATTCTCTCTACATGCCCAAACCATTTCAGCCTACCTTAAACCCTGAATGACAACAGTTATTTCTTGGAAAAATATTGTAAGGGCTTGAGTTATAGTTGGAAGGAGTAGCTGTTGACAGCACTTAGCTGCTATTTCAAGGGTTATATGGGTTCTTACCTTGCAGATTTAGTCAGGTTTTATAATGTAAATTATCCTTTTTCAGCTTCATTCATGAAATGAGATTCCAGGAACAATCCTCCATTTTTCAGCTTGCCTTTACAATATACAGCATATATCTTTTTCAGAATTCTAAAGGTGTAGTTGTAAATATTCCAATGCCTGGCCACACTGTTGGTGAAAGTCTTGTGGAACAAGTGAGGAATGATGTGTCAACTCTAGAACAACTTATTGATGAACATGACGTTATCTTTCTTCTCATGGACTCACGTGAGAGTAGATGGCTTCCTACAGTACTTGGTGCTGCCAAACATAAGGTGAATAGATTTTTATTGTAAATCTTATATTTTGGATGTACAGTATTTACTGAATAAATATTTAGAATACTTATGTTCCTTTATATTTAATGCTGTACAGCTTATCAGTGGGGTTACTCCCATATGATTGAGAGCTATGTACTGTATTGGATATTTGTGTTATATGTGATTTTTGTGGCAACCTGTGGTGTAATGGTCAGCATCCTCGCCTCGCAAGCAAGCGGACCCGAGTTCGATCCTTGGGCAGGGTGAAACTATGGGCAAGTTTCTTTATGCCATTTGCCTCTGTCTACCCAGCAGTAATTGGGAACCTGGATTTTAATTGATTTGCAGCTCGTTAACTTTGGGTGTGGTTGTTGTGTTGGCGACAGCTTCTACACCTTAACAAATTCACGCCTAGAAGGCCCTTGGGCCGGCCATCTTCTATTTCGAGGGGCTTCCATTATCCATTATATGTGATTATCAAATTGTTAATGTACTATTCAGTCATTATTCAGTGGTTTAAAAAATACAAGTTCTGTAAATTGTAATTATTTTAGTACGGGTATACTATTGTATATCTATCAAACAGAGTACTGTACCTGAAATTCATTGTAACATTAATAGTATTGTTTCTTTATATTCACAGTTAGTGCTAACAGCAGCTCTGGGTTTTGACTCATATTTGGTGATTCGTCATGGATACCGAACTAAAGATTATCAAAGTGAAGCAAGCACCAGTAGCAGCAAGTGTCCCACTGCTCTTAGTAAACAAATACCTGGTGATATGCTTGGATGCTACTTCTGTAATGATGTTGTAGCTCCAGGAGATGTGAGTTTCTATATCTTACTGGCTTTTTTTCAGGCTGTGCAGATTATGTAGACCATTTACTTGTCCCAGGCAAATTATTTTTTAAACTTACTTACCCTGAAAATTTTTGGAGAAAGTTTGATTGCCCAGATTTTTTTATAGAAAAAGCTAAATAAATATTATAAACATTCAAATCTATCGTGTGTATCAACTCATAGATCACTTGTGTCTGTCTAAATGGTGTCAGTTATAGTAACCCTCGTCATGTGATGTCATAACTCCTGTCATCTCACACCTGCAGGGTGTGTGGGGAGGTGCAGGCAGCATCTACTGTATCTATGATCACCTACCCTCACCACCACTCTTCCCCCCTATAATCTGGTGTCAGTGGCAGTAACAATTGTCAGGTGGGGTCATAACTCCTGTCACCTCAGGTCTATAGCTTCTTAGCTTGGTGGTTCCTGTGACATGTTGACTAGTTGACTTACTGACTAGAGGTGGGTAGGCAACTTAATGTAGAGGTAAATTACCTGCACCTGACATAGGTCATTAATCCTGGTACACTGATGACCTCCCAAGTTAAACTTGTACAAGTATGTGGGGTCACACACCATCTGACAAATTCCCATCTCGGTATTTTACTCTCAAAGTGTTAACTTGTATGCCAGGCACTGCTAATCTGCACAGCCCGCATTTCTTATTTGATATGATATTTATGTCCCTGTATACTTGCTATCAATAACAGATCCATATACTGTAGTTATAGGCAGGCAAGAGATCATTTGTTTGCACCACATGGTAGTGTGTTTATTTTCCCCAATGTGAAACTCAACTGGGTATTGGACCCCGGTAGTTATTATTCTGGAGAATGGAATGTCAGGAACATGCCACATCTCCCATTGTCTGAATTATTGCCCCTCTTCAGTAATCAGCTAGTATCATGTTATGCAACACTAAAATACCTAATTTTAACAGCAGTATTTTGTATACAGGGGGTCCCCAACTTACGAACGCCCGCTGATACAAACATGGTTAAACTTGAAATTTACAGTATTTTATTTACCTGCTAACTTATTTTTATTCATTTATACTGTATTTTGTCATTCTACTTCTTCTTTTGTCTTAAATTAAGTGATTTTAGAAGTATATAAGGACTTAGGCTATGACATAGTGGGATTTTAAATATTGTTCTGTAAGTACGGTATGCACATAGCATGTGTTCCGACTTACGTACAAATGCGACTTAAAAACGTCTGCAGGAACAGAGCCCATTCGTAACCCGGGGACTCCTTGTACTATATATAAAAAGATTTTGGTCGTTGAAATTAAAATTCTGAAGATAGTTTAGGTGTTATAATATAAGTAATATCAGTTTATTTCCTCTAATATGTCACGGAAGACACACATCCTCAACATTGCTGAAGCTTCCTCCTGAAAGCTGGGAATGCTGTACAGATGCCATAGCTACTTCACTCCATGATTCGCCCTAACTTGGAGTACTGCTTCACTCTATCTCTTTTACAGGCAATATTAAGTGGATTTGGCATCCTGTGTACCGCCGTCAAGGCCATGGGCTCGTAACACTCGTCTTGCCCGCAGTGCCCACCGTTTCTCTGTGGATGTCGGTCACACTAGAATAACCCGTTATAATAGTACATCCTTCTTTCCTCACACAGCCAAACTGTGGAATGCTCTGCCTTCTTCTGTGTTTCCACACTCATACAATCTGCCTCACTTAAAAAAGATGGTTTTTCGGCATCTTCGTGGTGTAGATTAATATAACCTTTTTCTTTTTTCTTTTTTTTTCGCCCCTCATGTCCCTGCCAGGGTGATGACATGTGCCCGGGTGGGCTATTATTATATATATATATATATATATATATATATATATATATATATATATATATATATATATATATATATATATATATATATTTATATATATATATATATATATATATATATATATATATATATATATATATATATATATATATATATATATATATAAAGCCCTCGAATATCCGGATTAAAAGGAGGGATCACCTGTCCGGAAAAGCCGATTGTCCGAATTTTCAGGCAAATAATAAATGATATAAGAAACACCAAAAAATACAGTACTAATGTAGTGAAACAAATTATCGTATATAAACCATGCATATACCTATGATAACATAATAAGAATCATTGTATCATTACTAGAGTGAATGAAATAATATTCCCACAAGCAACAATTGTTTCCCACCTCCTCGGGCATCTGTGTCCAAGCAACTGACGGGTCAAGCAGCGCCCACGGGCCTAAAATGTTCTTTGCTCTGGTTTGGGATGTTTCTTAGGGAAGGTTCTAGGAGGCTTCTTAGCCCAGAACCCCCCAATTTTTTGTCCGGATCTTCCGAAATCCGGATCTCCGGAGGGTTTAATGTATATAATTTTGAAAGGTTTATTCACATTGTTTATCTGCCTTCCCAAGTCCAGGTTAACTTTTTCTGGGAAGGCTTGCCTTTTGGACCTGTTCCTTGTGGCTTAGTATCTCAGTTCACATTCATGTATGGGATTTGCTTTTTTGAAGTGTGGAACCCATCCTATTGATCATCAAAAATGGTGGATTGACCTGGAACAAGAGAAGGCAGACCCATGGTGTGATGATTATGCAGACACAGCTTACAAAAGAACTCATCCCAAATCACAGCTGATGCACTTGTTTTCCCCAGTAGCTGTGAGGGAGAGGGAAGGGTGCTTGGTGTACCGTACTCATGTGGGTTATTAAATCAACCCTGGCTGGTATGACTGAGGACACAGATCCCCCTGTATTACAAGAAGCCGCTTGGCTGTGAGGTCTATCAAAAAAAGGTGTTTCAAGTTCAATCCTTCATTTTTCCAGTCAACCCATGACCGAACACTTGATCAACAATGTACAGTCACTCGTCCAGGTGTGTCTTACTTAGCTGCTGCTCATGTTACTGAATTGTTGGTCTCACTTCTCCAGCACCCAGACAAGTATGTATACACACCCTATGTATTAATTACTTTAATTTGGTAAGAAGAATTTTTTACTATTAATTATGGCCTAGGGAAGTTTTTTTTGTATTACATGTGATGTACAGTGGCTGGTACTTAGGAGAGGTTAAGATTTCATTCTCAAGGAATATAACCATTGCTGGGCTGAATTGCATAAAGGTATTGACTAGCAGGCATCAGTGCAACCTTGAAATGTGAGTGTTGTGTGAAGTTATTGGGCTGTGTATGGAGTGAAAATTTGTACTTGTTTTGCAAGAGACTTGCCCCAAACAGGTTTTTAATTTTGTCTTAGGATGTTAGAGAAGAGTTATAGGATATGAATGAATAGGTTGTACTTGAAAACAATTAATAATAAAAACTGGCTTGAAGGAATTAAGTTTAAGTTTACTCGAGAAAGATGCCCGGCATAAATTAACCTCGTTCTCTATATTATTATTTTATTCAGAGGACTAGCTGAAGCACGTGTCAATGACCAGGTCGATGTAAAGGAGGGGGAGTTAGGTCCAGTACCTCACTCCATCCGAGGATTCTTGGGGCGACATCAGCTTTTAACACCTGCTTCAACAGCCTTCCAGCAGTGTTCTGGTTGTTGTGATAAGGTAATGTGTTCCTAATACTGTACTGTGCCAGGAAAAATGATTTTATGCATGAACATCACATTTAGAGTTAAATAATATTATTATCAGAGCTAACTTATAATGTAAGATTATTCTTTATTCTTATATGTCGTCTCTACAATGTGGTCTTGGTACACCTGGTGTTTATAGGTGGATGACGTGCCTGTACCAAATTGATGCTCTTCCATGATTCCATCCAAAATTTTGTTGTATTAACTTGTCCACCAGTCTTCAGTGTAATGTATTTTCACACAACCTGATATGATACTATTGGTGTGTATCAATTTTGACCAATCTATGGGGTTACGTTCCCCCATATCCCTCAGGTCATAAATACTGTACATTACTGTATTGTAGTCTGTAAATTATTTGTGCCTGTGATGAAAGTAGGATTAGACTCCAGTCACAAAATATTGCCCTGAAAATCACTTAAACCCCAAAACTAACTGTGATGTGAGACAAACAATAAACATTGAATATTAAAATATAATTTGGAGGACAATCCTTTACAATTCTGACAAAAATTCCTTCTTTGGAAATCAAATTCCTCTGATAAATGCAGATATTATTGTTTAGCACATGAATAAACACATTAGTAGTGAGATATAAAGAAAGAAAAGTTTAGGTTACACAGTACACTGCAATATGATGTGAAAATCAATTTAAAATACAAAGGGCTTTTAGCAACAAAACCCCTATGTAAGTCACGGAATTTTTCTACAGGGAAAGTAATCCTTTTTAAATATCCTGTACAGTATTTCTACCACAACATAGGTTCATTATACTGTAGTTCCTACCTTAGCTGTATTGTTATTTTACTCATTACTCACTTTTTACTTTTGTATTGTACACTTTAAGGATTGCAGTAAAGTATGTACATTAATATGTATGTCTTCTTCTTCGAACAGGTGATATCAGCGTATAGAGAAGAAGGGTTTGAATTTCTGTTAAAAGTTTTCAACTCCTCAACACATTTAGAAAAAGTATCAGGTCTTAGTGAGCTGCACCAGTGTATCGATGATTCTCAGGTAATCACTCCAGAAGATTATGACGCTGTGATTTTAGATTAATTTGTCATGTTCAATATAGAGTACATATGCTATGGTTTATTGTCACAGTAATGGGTAAGAACAATAAGTGTGGATACAGCTTTGTTTTGTCTGTTATTATAATGCCTTGATTTAGATTTAGTTAACATATTTATCAAGCTCATCTCCTGTGAATCTGCCTTAATCACAAATTTTATGTTGACACCACTGCCATTGGTAAAGCAATACCTGTGAATCATCTTCCATGTATTTGTTCTGTGCAAAACCAATTTCTCAAAAATTATACAATTACGTTAAATAAAATTGTCTTAAGTATATTCAGTATTAAAAACACTCATGTATTTTCCTTGATTATACAATAGTGTATTGGCATGAGTGACTTCCATGTGAGGCCACCAGTCAAACTTAACCTCACTTTATTGTAAACAGTTAAAAAGAAAAAAAGTTAATTAATAAAAACAGTGCTTGAAGATGACTGAAACTATGATGAGTATAAGTAATTTAGATGTACCGATTTTCTCCAAAACAAAGCTGAAGAGCAAATGAGCAGTGAACTTTAGAGAAGTGAAATGAGTAAAATCAAGAGTGAAAGGATTGGTTTTGTTGTTGAATGATGAAATGTGGAGCTGTATAAATGGGAGTGAAATGTTGGTTACAGAAAGTACATACATTGCTAGAAATAAAAAAGGGAGGGGGTCTGGGAAGACCTGAATAACTGCAATGAAAGCCTCAGTTGGTAATAGGGATGTGGAAGGAATTACGGGGAAACTTGGAGGGTCTGGAATAACTGAAAATGGAGTCCGATTAAAATGTGTAGAAAGAGGGCGTTTAGTGAGTATTGTTACGGAACAGAAGATTGAAATGTACCGTAAGTTGATCAGTGAGTGTACAATATTATGACAAGTGATGTAGTGTCTGACCATCAATTGCTATACCGGTAAGTTAATTAATGTAATAGAATAATGGAAGTTAAAGGAATTTTTATGCACAAATCACACTGTTGTCATTTCTTTTTAGAAAGCAAATACTATAATCACCTTGCCAGAACAGGGTAAGCTTACTTGTTGATATAGTACAGGTAGAGTCTCGTTCAAGATTCTTTGAACACTGCTGGAGACAGCTGGCAATTCAAGGCCGTTTGTTTACGATAGTACAGCTACTCCCAGACTTACGTAATTTTGTCAAATTACGTATTTTCGAGTCCCAACGTCAGTGATTGCACTGTGTACTGACAAAATTTTCGCTTGTAATTCGCTTTAAAATGGCTGGCAAGCTTAAAAGTGAGAGTTTTGTGGTGCTGAGAAGAAAGAGAGACAACCATTTTAGGTTTTCCATGTATTATTTAAGCATTTTTGACTTACGACCTGGATTTGGGTCCCTAACCCCGTCGTAAGCCGGGGAGGAGCTGTATAATATAATACGAAACAACAAAGCCCAACCATTAAATTAAGCAATGGGGAACTAAGCAACCAAACACTGATCACTTTTACATTTATTCATAATTTTTTACTACGTACTATAGTAAATAAACGGCCTTGAGTTGCCAGCCGTCTCCAGCAGTGTTCGAAGAATCTTGAACAAGACTGTACCTCCTTTGGGTACAATGATGCCAGAAGATCTGTTCCCTGTACTGTACTGCTTTGTTTATATAGGTGTATTCATAATTTTTAGTGCTGCAGTTCACAAAGAAACATTCATATGTTGAGATATGGTATTACATTCAACATCAAACAACTACAGGGTATATAAAAGAATAAAACTTGAAATATGTACAGCATTATTCTCACTGAGATTAATGTTTGACAACATCAGTAATTTGTTTTTTTATTTGAAGAAAAGTGGTTTATTTCCTGCTGATCCAGATATTTTGAGGAATCTTAACATCTCTCTAGGTGTGTAACCTTTCAAGTACATTACCAATTGCAAATGAACGTTTTATATATATTTAAGTGGATTGTAAATTTTGCAGACTTAAGAACTGCAAACTAATTGAAGTTTAATGTAAATTAATACAACCATCGCCATTCATAGTGTACTGTCCGAGAGAGAATGGTACTGATTAAATTATGTAAGTTTTACCAGTGATGCCTTGAGACAGACGTACTCATTTGTTCCCCACAGTAATTTTTATACTTTCAAGGGATGCAAGTGGCTCAAGTATGAGAACTCATTAGGATATGACATCTTAACTTTGCATCCTTTAATAGGTCTTAGCTTCAGTAACCTGAAGTTGATACTGTCGAGTGAGAACAGATTCCTAGAATTTTTTTAGTAGCCATATGCTGACAATGCTTTAGTGCAATTCTTCCATGGATACTCCAGTGAGAAATATTTCAGCTAGGTAGGTGACCACCATTTAGTTATGTTACTTCTTGTATACAATGTTTATCTATAAAGTGTAATCTACATTTCTCTTCAGATCTGGGAGCTTAGTGACAGTGAGGAGGATATGGACTAAAATGTCGGCTTTGGATGAGCGGTCAAGTTATCTTCCTAATTTTAATTACAGCCGAAGTTCCTAAACAAAAATTGTAAACTTTCAGATCATTCCCTGAAGTAGTCAAACTACTTTATACCATTGGGTTATGCAGTCTTAAAGAGGTCAGTCCCAAACAACACATGCAAAGCCCAATTGTTGACTTGCACTGTTCTATGAATTTTTTTCACAAGTAAAGATTTAGTAAATAATTTTGTTTTCCTGAACATTATTTTTACTGTATTGTAAATGGTACACTAGTGTCCTGCACAAAGTCTAATGAAAATGTTACATCTGTATATTAGATTGCTTTAATGAACAGGGAATTGTTGGATTAAATGATGACCCAGCAATTTGGGTCATCTACAGTAATTCAGGACTTAACCCCCCCTTGGGTTTCAAATAACCCATTTGGTGCACAGTATGTAATTTCATTTAATACCAATTAATAAAAACTTCCTCCAGAAACTGTCTGCATCCAAAACCATTTCAAACTCCTGGTCAACCTTCGAGAATCTCAATTCCTAGCTACATTTTCATGCTGGTCATTAATTTATGGTGTCCACCATTTCTATTCCTTAGAAAGATTCGTTCAACATCGCGAAAGCAAAACTTAACCTGTCCAAAAAATTTATTTTCAACTCTTATGGAAATAATAAAAATCAAAAGTAGATTTTCATATTTATTATAAACCATTCTTCCTCACTCACACATACTGGAATGGACTTGTGCATACATACTTGGCATTGTGGTACCCCCACTGAAACATGATGAGATGAAAACCTAGCCAAATACCTGTGATAACATGATGATGATGAAAGATGTCCTTTAAACAAACAAAAAATCAATAATTTACTATTGTTGTCAATAAACCAAAACATTTTTACAACTCATCCTTATCAAAATCTTCCTCTTCACCACCTGTAGGGGGTGCACCACCAGCACCCTGGTAGAGCTTTGTAACAATTGGTTGAACAATATCCTCGAGTTCCTTCTTTTGTGTCTTGTAATCTTCTGCCTCTGTATCTGGATTATCTTCTAACCACTTAATCTTTTCATCAATGGCCTCTTCAATCTTTTCTTTGTCTTCATCAGAAAGTTTTGCTCCAAGCTTATCCTTATCATTAACCTGGTTCTTAAGACTGTAAGCATAGGACTCCAATTCATTTCTAGCTTCAACACGCTCCTTGAGCTTCTTGTCTTCATCAGCAAAGATCTCTGCATCCTTTATCATTCGTTCAATGTCCTCTGGTGTAAGGCGATTCTGATCATTGGTGATAACAATTTTTTCCTTATTCCCTGTGCCTTTGTCTTCTGCAGATACTTGAAGAATACCATTAGCATCAATTTCAAAAGTAACTTCAATTTGGGGTACACCACGAGGGGCAGGGGGAATGCCTGTCAAGTCGAACTTTCCGAGAATGTGGTTGTCCTTTGTCATTGGTCGCTCACCTTCAAACACCTGAATGGTGACAGTGTGTTGGTTATCTGAAGCTGTGGAGAAAATCTGCGACTTCTTGGTGGGAATTACAGTATTGCGAGAAATCAACTTTGTCATGACACCACCCACAGTTTCAATACCCAGGGTAAGAGGATTAACATCCAACAACACCAAGTCGTTAGTATCATCTTCACCTGACAACACACCAGCCTGGACAGCTGCACCATAAGCCACAGCCTCATCAGGGTTGATTCCTCGGGATGGTTCCTTGCCATTGAAGAACTCCTTAACAAGCTGCTGAATTTTTGGGATACGGGTGGATCCACCAACCAGTACAATCTCGTCAATTTCTTTCTTCTGGAGGTCTGCATCTTCAATTACCTTCTGCACTGGTTTCATTGTTGATCTGAACAGATCCATGTTAAGCTCTTCAAACTTTGCACGAGTAAGTGTCTCCGAGAAGTCTTCACCCTCAAAGAAGGATTCAATCTCAATCCTGACCTGATGACTAGCAGAGAGAGACCTCTTCGCCTTTTCTACTTCACGACGGAGTTTCTGTACAGCACGGTTATCCTTCCGGATATCCTTCCCCTTCTTTTTCTTGTAGAGCTTAATGAAGTGCTCCATGACTCGTTGATCGAAGTCCTCACCGCCAAGATGAGTATCACCATTTGTTGCCACTACCTCAAACACACCAGAGTCAATGGTAAGGAGGGAAACATCAAAAGTACCACCACCCAGATCAAACACCAAAATATTCTTCTCTCCATCTTTCTTGTCAATACCATATGCAATGGCAGCTGCAGTAGGCTCATTGATAATTCTCATGACAGTCATGCCTGCAATAGTTCCAGCATCCTTAGTAGCCTGACGCTGTGCATCATTGAAATAGGCAGGAACTGTAACAACAGCATGAGTAACAGTCTTGCCAAGATAAGCTTCTGCAACTTCCTTCATCTTGCCCAGCACCATGGCAGAGATCTCTTCAGCTGCAAATACTTTATCACCCTGAGATGTAGAGACTTGAATATGTGGCTTGTCATTCTTTTTTATTACTTTGAAAGGGAAGAACTGGATATCATGCTGAACCGATTTATCAGACCACTCACGGCCAATGAGACGTTTTGCATCGAAGATAGTGTTCTCGGGATTTGTAGTGAGCTGATTCTTGGCAGAATCTCCAATAAGCCTCTCGCCATCAGCAGTGAAGGCTACGTAGGAAGGGGTAATTCTGTTGCCCTGGTCATTGGCAATGATCTCAACCCTGCCGTTCTTGAATACGCCCACACTGTAATCAGAAATTCATTTATGGACAAATACAAAGACTACGTTGTACATAATAGTTGAAGTAATAAGATCAGCACTTTGCATAGCAAGTCACTAGTGTATTCTCCAACAAATGCTTTCTGCAGCAATTATGAAATTGGATGGTCAGGCCATAACTTGGAGTTATTTTTCAAATTTGAAGACTAGAATGCAATGTCCAGAAAGATTCAAGAGGACCTTAAAACTACCAATTACAGCATTTTTACTTCCAATGCTAAATGCAATGGTGAAATAAGTACACAATCAATCCAAATTTAAAGGTATGTGCTTTGAAGCAAGTACAGTACAATATAATGCAGATTTAGATTGTTCACTAATTTTTCTTGCCAAAGCGGTCGTCTTATTCATCTCAAAACTCGATCATAAATTACACATGAAAAATAAATCCAGTGGACAAATTACTGAACATTTGCCTAATGAAATTACACCATACTGTATCACATTCCAATCTAGTGTGCAAACATGTATGTGCCAGGGCAGACCAGGGAAGGATAGGGGGGCGAAAATGGTTAGGGAGCATCCACGAAGAACTAGTAATGTATATGAATGATCAATGCAGCTAGCTCTGCAAGAGTATGAGATGCTATTAGGTGTTGGAAGCAAAATGGATAAATGTGGTTTAGCCTTTAGAAACAAATTTAACCTCTCAAAAGAGCTCCTGAAGAACAGTGTACTGTAGTTAGTTGCAAGGACATTAAAGGATGTTAACAAATGCCATGGTTACAACTTACTTTAAAAATAACTGATCAGCTGGCCTAAGGACCAGCTGGTAGCCCAAAGTTTCCTTCACTCACCAGGAATAAGTGGTTCCCAAGTCTATGCCAATAACCGTTCCAACCTCTTCCTTCTTGCTCTCTTTGGCCGTCACAACTGCAACTGCAGCTGCCAGGGCTAGAACTGTCCAACACCTCATTTTTCTGAAATAATTATTTTATTAGCTCAAAGTTGTCAACACTGGAGAAATTTAAAACACTATTAGTAACGAGACAAAGGGCACTTTGAACTCCAATTAAACTTCAGTGGCCAGGAGAACAGAATTAAACCAACTTGCCAAGACTGGGAACTTTCCAAAATAGCAGAAAATCACAATTGTTCATAAAATTAATCACACTGAACTCGTACCCCAAAGCGTGAAGGTCCTGGGGCGACAATTTAGCTGCCGTCAGCAAAGTAATGGCCAAACATTAAACAGCACTGTATTGCTTGTATTATAAAGGTTAGGCAAGTTAATTTAGTTTATTTAACGAATAACAAAATGGCAGTATCTGCTACGTCAGACATTCCCAGTCTTGCCAAATATCAATAGCTCTTGTCTATGCCCATTAAATGCATTATTAGATATGATCCTGGATGAAGTCTGGGTTAACTAACTACTTTTAATTTACCCAGTTCCCACCAGTTTTAGAAGAGCCTAATCCCGGGCATTAGGAACCTTGAGTACAGAGACAGGTAAAAGCATCTTAATTTGCACTCCCTCGAGAGAGAGTGAGGGGCGACATGATCGAGGTGTATAAATGGAAGTCAGGGCTGAACAAAGGGGACATTACAAAGGTACTCAAACTATCCAACCAGGAGCGAACTCGTAACAATGGTTTTAAATTAGACAAATTTAGATTTAGGCGCGAAAGGTAAACATTGGTTTGGAAATAGAGTCGTGGACGACTGGAACAAGATACCAAATATCATGAACTCGAATACGCTGGATAGCTTCAAACATAGGTTGGATGGATATATGAGCAATAGGGGTTGGGTGTAAATGGGACTGCCCAGTATGGGACAATAGGTCCGCTGCAGTTTCCTCCATTCTTATGTTCTTAGGTTTATACAGTCACTGGGTTAGTGGCTGTACTATGGGCATTAAAAAAATTTAAGCCATATACATAAATTGGCTAAAACCACAATTAAAACTCGAGTCAAGGGCTTACAAAATAGTTACCCTCACGTAATATATTATCTGTACCTTACTTTTTTGTAAATAAACCATAGCGTTACAGAACTAAAATTCGTAACTGGAAAGACCAATTATTCATGCAGGCTTCTAATAAAAAAAAATGCGCATACTGAACATCCGAGTAACCAAACCAGGTATTTCTCAAGAATCTTGGTTGACATTTAAAGATCGTAAAGGCGGGTACTGCCTGACCTAGTTACGGGCGGCAGCGACTAACGGTACCAACTCTACACCGGCCACCCTTAACTCCAAAACCTTTACTACAGGACGTAAATATATTTTACTTTGCCACTCACACTGTAGCACAAGGATTAAGTTCCAAAACTAACCCAGGTTAAACAAAGAATTTGGTTAATACGTACATGAACGGCAGTTATACACAAGCCTATTTCCATCTCAAAACAGTTAAATCGTGTTATATCTGCTCTATACTATATTCCCAGTAGTTACACAATAACCAAGAATGGATGCCTCTAGCCTGTGCTACATGGCGTATCATGGAAAATTCTAGAAAACCCAATACCTTCCTATTTCCAATTCTACAATTTTTTATTTAAATAGATATTAACCACATGTTAATCAATATACACTTTTATATCAATCTCCACCTAAATACCTAGAGAGATTGACGCCCCCTTAAATCCACTTCACAAAGTCGGAAAAATGCCGGCAAAGCTCCTAAATGAAATCAATACAGGTTTGTCAATTCAACATATAACTAAAATATACAAGAAGTTTACTCCATTAACTTACCGTATTTAACACCGTATAACCACTTAGAACCGTTAGAGTATTTCCAAAACAATATTCACAACTCCTACCACCATTCACTATTGGTCGGTGAATGACACTTGCTCGAGCGTTCCCGGAGAGGCACTAGAAATATCGTCTGCTAAGTCTCGTGTACCTTTCCTATTGGTCAGCTTAAACCACGTGGTACAACTTCTGTTATTTTGATTGGTCAACGTCATCACACAGTCTCGACTGCTATTGGTACACGTCTGCCTACGCCAAGGTTCGCTGTTTTCAAGTGTTGAAATATTATTTTTTATTTTCCTGGAAATAATAATGAGTATTATATATTATAAACTATATAGACTTAAAGGATATTTTAGTTTAAATAAATATTTTATACATTATTTTAAAATAAAGGTGTAATTATTTTTCAGTAATAGTTTTAAAATAAATTTCAGGATCTTACTGGTTCTCATTTTTTACACGTCAAGGAAGTGACGTCAGTGTAGCGCCGAGAAAGCACCAGAAACTAACGTCCACGTCCACTTCTTCCTCTCCTGCTGTACGGTCCAGTTAGTTGTAAGTATTGTTAAAGCATCGACTGATAATTTGTTCGACACGTAAGCATAGTTGTGCCATGTGTACATAATCTCAGAACATTCTCTCGAGGCCGATAAACTTTGATAATTTTAAGGTTTTTTAGTTACCAAGATCCACCGTCCATGTTGCCACGCGGTCATCGACTACCAACGTGTCCCGGCCATCAAGGAACCCACATGGAGTTATATAATTGTAGTTTTTTTTATACGTGCAGCACAAAATTCGATTTGCTGTTCGACTACCTAACTAAAATAATTTTGGCGACTTGGTAATATTTAATTCATAATCATTCTCCCGTTACTCTCCTTCTACTTGTACCCTATCATTTATTTAATTCATAATCTTAAATTCCTGCTGATGTTTTAAAAAGGTCATTGCTACTGGGTGAATGGATCTGTAAAGTACGGCCTTCACGGTACTATTTACCCACATTGGCATATTTTATTTATACTGCAAGGAAGATAAAATATTGCTTTAATTTTAATTTTGCGCATGACCGGATTTGGATTCCAAATGTTAACTATTTTTGTAAAATTATTCTGCCGAGTAATTTGTAAATGTTAAAGCTGGCTCATTCCTTTACTGTAGTCATTGGGTCCGACTAATTACCCAAATGTAGCCGCAATGAAGTCAAATAATGGTCCTACATGAATAAATGGGACTGCCAATCACTTCTCGACTGGTATTTGGTGTCACGAAGTCACAAAATTGGTAAACTTAATTTAATCTGAGTTTATAGATCGAGTGCATTTGGTCAATTTTATCTTGGGAGGCCACCGCGTACTAAGCAATTCCTCTGTTGGTTTACGGTAGTTAAATTAATCAATAATTCATTCAATCTTCTAAGGAAATACCGCCACTGATGGTTATTCATGATAGTTTATTTTATACTTTGAGTGTTACCCGGACCTATGGCCTAGAAAACAGTGCGTTAATGTTCGAAATAAGACAGTATTAGGTTTTATATCTTGTAGTGAAAGTATTAAGAGTGCAGAGGTCTTATTGCAACTATATCTTGCGCTAGTCGGGTGCACTAGAGTCGGTGCAGCGAAGAATGACGAAAATGATTCCGGGACTTGGAAACCTTCCATATCAGGATAGGTTAAAGAAACTAAACTTGCATTCCCTAGAAAGATGAAGAGTGCGGGGATATATGATAGAAGTATTTAAGTTGGTGAAAGGAATCAATAAAGGAGATGTAGATAAAGTTCTTATAATGTCCGAGCAGGATAGGACTCGGAGCAACGGATTTAAGTTGAATAAGTTTAGGTTTAGGAAGGAGATAGGAACTGGTTCACAAATAGGGTGGTGGAAGAGTGGAACAAGCTTAGCAACTTTGTAGTAAGTGCTGGAAAGTTTTAAAATGAGGCTAGATAGATACATAAGAAAATAAGGAGTCTGCAATAGGCCGGTTGGCCTGTGCATGGCAGCTCCTGTCGAGAGTTACTACCACTATCATCCATGAATCTATCTAGCCTCATTTTGAAACTTTCCAGAGTTCCAGCACTTACTACAAAGCTGCTAAGCTTGTTCCACTCGTCCACCACCCTATTTGTGAACCAGTTTCTTCCTATCTCCCTCCTAAACCTAAACTTATCCAACTTAAATCCGTTGCTCCGAGTCCTATCCTGCTCGGATAAAGGTCTTGTTTCAAAATCGTATGCAGTACTGTATATAGTTATAGCGCCGTAAGTAATAAAGATTTGACCTAACCGTACCTGCCATAACTCCACTTTACTTGATAAATCGTATTTTGTATAGTATTGTACTTTATTTCAGAACTCGCTTATGTTCCACTTGGTAACTTTTTGGGGTAATATCCGAGAACAGGACTACTGTAACACCAAGAGGTGTTGTTAGATTTTGTTAATTTTATTTTCCACATGTTTTTGCACAGAATCTAATAGAACCTGACCTAACCAACCCAAGAAAAAAAAATGGGTTTTATATCTAGAAGTGCAAGTAATAAGAGTGCAGAGGTCTTATTGTAACTATATCTTGCGCTAGTCAGGCCGCAATGCGGTTCAGTTCTGGTGCCCTTATTATAGAATGGATAGCAATTCACTAGAGTTGGTGCAGCGAAGAATGACGAAAATGATTCCGGAACTTGGAAACCTTCCATATCAGGATAGGTTAAAGAAACTTAACTTGCATTCCCTAGAAAGACGAATAGTGCGGGGAGATATGGTAGAAGTATTTAAGTGGGTGAAAGGAATCGATAAAGGGGATATAGATAAAAGTTCTTATAATATCCGAGCAGGATAGGACGCGGAGCAACGGATTTAAGTTGGATAAGTTTAGGTATAGGAAGAAACTGGTTCACAAATAGGGTGGTGGTCGAGTGGAACAAGCTTAGCAACTTTGTAGTAAGTGCTGGAACTCAGGAAAGTTTCAAAAGGAGGCTAGATAGATTCGTGGATGATAGATTGGTAGTAACTCTCGACAGGAGCTGCCATGCACAGGCCACCCGGCCTATTGCAGACTCCTTATGTTATGTTCTAAGAAACCTAACTAACCAAACTACCTAGCCAGGAGGGCAGACCCCCACCATATTAAACAGAAGTATGGTAAATTTACTTTTTCAACCAATGTGGTTCTCGAGTTGATTAATGTGTTTTTCCGATAATTGAGAAAACTTAAGACAGTGGCTTTTTCCACGCAATTAACCTAAAATTACCTAACATAACCCAACTCGACTCCCCGGTATATTTGTCATGGATTTTCATCGTGATGGTCTAAGTGTGGTTTATATTATATATAGATTATAATATATTGCTAATTATATTTCTTACCGTAGAGTTCGATACCTTAACACTGGTTGCTTACAGGAGATTATGGTGCACCTACGTAGAAATGCACTCCACCACCCGACATTCCATGATTTATACTTGATAAATGATGATTTAATGAGTTTGATTAATTTCCAACATCCATTTAAGTTATTGGTTATACTTTGTCATAACCAATCAGTCATTACCTTTAGTAATACTAAAATAGGATCACAGATACGGGCATGGGTGACTCGTGGATATGAGTCCCTCACATTCACGCTGTAATAAAATTAATCTTCTAAAAGAAGGAATTTTCAGTTTGGGGACATGTGATTATTCTATGGGTATGACTTAACAGCCTTAATTCTTCAAGTGATTCATTTACTGCCAGCCTAGATTGCTCTTGTTGCAACCAGGCTTCCGCACAAGAAATTCTTTCCATGGGGAATAACAAAGATACTCTTGGGTTACCACACATGGTCTTGCGTCACTGAGTCACTGTAGACGGTTGTCGCGGCCAGGAGAACTGGTAAGCGTGACATGATTAACCACTTAGGTTCAGTAGGCCAGCCTGGGTTGCTTTCTTCGCAATCGGGCTTCCACACATGATTTTTCCACGGGGATGACAACCTAGGTTAACACGCTTAAACTCGTGTCGATCAAGGTCACTAGACGGGTGTCGTGCAGGACAACTCTGTAAACATGACTTGATTAACCATTTACTGTAGGTTTGATAGGCCAGCCTGGATTGCTCTTGTTGCAACAAGGCATCCACACATATTTCCACGGGGATAACAACCTAGGTTAGCACACTTAATCTCGTGTCGCTGACGGTCCACAGGACGTGGTGGCGGTGTCCCGTTCCCTTCAGGAGGGAGAGGGTGGGGACGACGTATTAACCCATGGCCTAGGGGATACTATTCAAAATGTGGTTCTGGGGTGTGAGGCTATGAACAGTACAACACTGTCTCACTGGCCTCCTGCTATCAATAAAGGGGATATAGATAAAGTTCTTTTAATATCCGAGCAGGATAGGACTCGGAGCAACGGATTCAAGTTGGATAAGTTTAGGTTTAGGAGGGAGATAGGAAGAAACTGGTTCACAAATAAGGTGGTGGACGAGTGGAACAAGCTTAGCAACTTTGTAGTAAGTGCGGGAACTGTGGAAAGTTTCAAAAGGAGGCTAGATAGATTCATGGATGATAGTGGTAGTAACTCTCGACAGGAGCTGCCATGCACAGGCCAACCGGCCTATTGCAGACTCCTTATTTTCTTATGTTCTTATGCATAGACTGACTAACATACCACTAATGGAAAAAAATGTCGGTCATGTCTTGCCGGGTGCCATATCTCTAGTAAAACAAACTTTGGAGTTGGTTGCATGGGTAAGCCTAATGCAACCCATGACAATTTAAGTAATGTTTAATGGAAATGTCATAAGAAAGGGGTCTTAAAATTGTATAAACCATCGGAAGAACACATTGCTCAACTAGAGCCATATTGTTTGAAACTGCAATTATACCGAAAGTACTTATTTTGGTATCTGGTACCAATGAAAGCAACTTTATTGAAGCGATGTGGTGTAATTTTATATTTCTTTATTTTTATTTATTTATTATTATATTTTTTTTTGCTATTATGCTTAGACCAAGTGGGTCAGTTGTAAATAAACTGATGACACGTGGGGACTTGGCCAATTTTTTTGGAGGAATATTTATGGTAAATAATTTTCCTTGCTTTCAAGGCTCCTAAATGTCATTTTGGTGTTTTACCCCCACAATTTCCCTCGTCCATGCCCTGCCCACTACAGGTGGTTTGTGGTCTTAGATAGAAAAACTAAAAAAATATATATATTATAAAAAGTTGTCACCTCTTAAATTACTACTGTATTATGGTGCATTTTACTTTTATCATCTTCTAATGATATCTGAGCAGGATAGGACTCATAGCAACGGATTTAAGTTGGATAAGTTTAGGTTTAGGAGGGAGATAGGAAGGAACTGGTTCACAAATAGGGTGGATGAGTGGAACAAGCTTAGCAACTTTGTAGTAAGTGCTGGAAAGTTTCAAAAGGAGACTGGATAGATTCATGGATGATAGTGGTAGTAACTCTGGACAGGAGCTGCCTTGCACAGGCCAACCGGCCTATTGCAGACTCCTTATGTTCTTATGTAGTTGCATGATCCGGTGTCAAGGAATAGTGGAAGAAGTTCAGACAACTTGCCAACTACATTGGCTGACTATTGCCCTGGAACACGATCCACAAATCAATTAACATACAGGTCCCCAATTACTGCTGGGCAGACAGAAGCAAATGGCATACCGGTAAAGAAACTAGCCCAAAGTTTCACCCTGCCTGGTAATCAAACCTGGGTCCACTTGCTTGCGAGGCGAGCATGCTGACCATTACACACAAAATATTGTGTGAAAGTTTATTAATCTGCATAAAAAATTTAATATCCAGTTCTGTAACAGTTTAAACACCTTGACAGCAGTGTGTGACTCCAGTATATACGATTTAATTCCCATTATTCACACTGGTTGCAATCTGTTCACAGCCGCCATTCCCCGCCACCATTACAGTGTGTTTAACTCTGCCCATACTTGCCTCCCACATCCACCACATGCCTGGTTTCTTTTCCCACCATATACTGTACAGTACTTAAACCAGGAGTCCCATTTCATCAAAATAAGCAGAACAAGTATACTACTGTAGTATTTATTTATAAATTAATGGTATACTGTACAGTATAAAAAAAATTTTCATCCCTTTCAACGTACAGTACTCATGTGCAATAATACATTTTCATTGTGTGTGCGCATTTCATTGTATGTGTGTGTACACTATTTCCGGATCACCTAAAGAATCACCCCAGGATATCCCACCTGAAGAATTGTCACCCTGCCTAACTCTGGGGTGACAATTCTTCAGGTGATCCCTATTTCCTTATTACTTTCACTGAGTGTTGTTGGTGACAGCTTCTACACCTTAAACAAATTCACTTTTAGGTGGCTCTAGGGCCGGCCATCCTCGATGGCGAGGGGATCCATTATTATACTGTATATAAAATGAGAATGCATATTGGCAGTTAGATCTATTTTTGCACTTAAAATATTCCAGTGTCTTACTTTCCCCGAGTGTATTGGGGCAGTGTGGATTCCTATTAAAGGATAATAAATATTTTTTGTTTGGGATATTAATTGAAAGGAAAGATAGAAGTATTTAATAAATTTTTAGCTTCCCAAAAGCACCAGTCTGGAGTTGTTCCCTTCTGGCCGTCAAGAGGAAGTAGAATATATTCTCTTCTATTGGGTGAGACAAGCAAGCTATTCATGCACTATGCCTCAATGAGAAAAGATACATTTAAATATTTTCATTTGTTTATTAACCCAGCTTTTAGTTTTATACACAGGTTTTAAGGTAGCTGCATTATTCTTGTTTCTTCAGGTAAAATGTCAGAGCCTGGTTTGGATTCACCTGAGAAAGAAAGTGAAGTTGGGCACTACTTACGCACACTACTGGAATCGGAGGTGGAGGGTCTACTTCGCCAAGATTCCCGTGGATTAGTGGGAGAGTTCCGGCAACAGAAACTGGAGAGAGAGGCTGCAAAAAATTGGGATAAATTCTACAAACGCAATGAAACAAGGTGTGTTTAAGTTGATAGAGGCAGTTTTGCAGTTCAAGCTTAAGTCATGAAAGTTGTACACGTACGTGCTCACACGGTCTGTCTTAGTTCCTCTAAGTGGCTAGCTGTAACAGAAATAAAAAGCCACCAAATAACTGTTGTTTGAAGTCCTGAATAGAAGAATGCTGTTTAACCAATTGCAATTAGATTTATCGTGATAATGTCAAACGCTTATTGTCCTGTTTTGTTTGTATAGATTCTTCAAGGATCGTCATTGGACAACGAGGGAGTTTCAAGAATTGATTGGGGACGGGGAAACCACACGGACACTGATAGAAGTAAGTATTACTGTACGTATTTGTTTTTAAATTGCTTCTTAGAAAAGTTGATTAGGATGAGTGAAGCCTTTTTCTCTCAGAAATTTCAGTAGACTACAGTAGTACAGTACAGTACAGTACTTTGAGATGGGTAATAGCACTGAACACTTCCTGATAGTAAAATCTTATGTTTGATCTTTAAACTTCTATTCTTTCTTTGATTCATTGAGTCAACAGCACCATCTGTGACTGATACAGTGGTCCCTCGGTTAACGAACGATTCGATTAACGAAATTTCGGTTAGCGAATTACCTTCCATACGGATCTTCGATTCGTTTAACGAACAGAACTTCGATTAACGAAATCCTTACGAACAACACGTTTTGTGAGCATCAGCTGATGGGCTAGTCTGCCAATTCAGTAATCTGTTCTTTGTTTACATTTATTTCCAGTGGAGTAAATATCAATTAAGTTGTGCTCTTTAATATTTTTGCATTTTTTATATTAAAATTTTTAGTCATTTTAAAATTTAGTTAACATATTGATAGTATATGCAGTACAGGGAACTTGTTTTTTGTGCGCCCATCAGCCGCTTGACTCAGCCACCGGGCGTCAGTTTGGCTTTGTTGACAGTGGAGTGAACATTGATTTTTTTGGTGTCTTGAATATTTTTGCATTTTTACATTAAAATTATTGGTCATTCTGAAATTTAGTTAACATATTGATAATATACAGTATAGTGCAGTGCAGTGTTGATTTAAATATTATCTTGAATTACACAGTGAACTTACAATTTTATTGGTAAAATTACTGCATCAAGCATGGGTCCCCTGAAAGGCGATTCTCCTCCATCCCCACTTCCTTCTCTTCTCCTTTCTCCTCCATCCCCACTTCCTTCTCTTCTCCCTTTTCCTCCACCCCCACTTCTAATTCCCATCATATCAACCACCAGGAACCTTCTACATACATACCTCGGAGTAAGTGTACAGTACTGTATTTTTTTTTTTTTTCTGAGCTGGAACCAATACCCCAAATATCCCATCGAAACAATGGATTCGGTTAACTAACGACTGTGGAACAAATTGTGTTCGTTAACTGAGGGACCACTGTATATTACCATCTATGGCTCTTTAAACTAATTTAATCCACTAAAGGTTGGGAATTTAAGATAACTGTACAGTACTGTAATTGTAAACCTTTGTTAAAAAATACTAAAGGAAATTTATTTTCAGGTTGGATGTGGTGTTGGGAACTTTTTGTATCCGCTACTGGAAGAGAACCTAAACCTCTTTGTATATGCTTGTGACTTTTCTCCACGTGCCATTCGGCTTGTCAAAAGTCATCCCAAGTATGATGAATCCAAGGTCAAAGCTTTTGAATGTGACATAACAAAGGTAATGTTAGTACAGTATTTCTTTAAGGTCTAGTTTGTGATATTTTGAATGTCTTTAAAAGATGATGTTAACTGGATGAACTTTGGAAACTAAAAAACTAAATACTGTTTTGTTTCCTTACAGGAGGAGTTAAGGAGTATAACTGGTAATGAAGTGGATATAATAAGTTTGATATTTGTTCTCTCTGCATTACATCCAGAGAAGTTTAAGGAAGTAGTGTCCAATTTGTACCGTTGCTTGAAACCAGGAGGAATGGTGTTGGTTCGAGATTATGGATTATATGACATGGCCATGTTAAGATTTGGACCAGGAAACAAATTGGGTGAACGCTTTTATGTGCGTCAAGATGGGACTAGGTAAGTTAACTCAGGTTTTGAAATTTTTTACGTGTACTGTACATATGTGATGTGTTAATATGTGAAGTGAGTCTTGTCCTTATTATCTTTTTATAACTTAGGTCTTACTACTTTACGGAGGAAGAGCTGAGGCAATTGTTTGAAGGAAGTGGTTTTGTGGTGTCCAGTAACCATTATGTGTCGCGTCAAACCGTCAACAAGAAAGAAGGGATAAATGCTCGGAGAATATTTATTCAAGCCAAGTTTATGAAGCCCAGTTAGTGAGGTGAGAAAATTTGTCATATATTTACAAAAAATGATTTCATGCTAATTCCTAAACCATCATTTAACTTCATGGTTTGTAAAGGTATTAAATAGACTTTTAGCTCCCCAAAAGCACCAGCCTGGAGCTATTCCCTTCTGGTCGTCAAGAGGAAGTAGAATATTTTCTTTTCTATTGGGTGAGACAAGCAAGCTATTCATGCACTATGCCTCAATGAGAAAAGATACATTTGACTTTGTCACATAATCTAGGTTTTAAATTTTTTTTAGGTAGGTTTTAACTTTGCTGTGTTATTGTTTCCTCAGGTAAAATGGCTGAGCATGGTATGGATTAAACTGCTAAAAAAAGTGAACCTGAGCACAACCTGTACTTTAATGGAATGAGAAGGGGGGGGGTACTTTTGACCAAGATCCTGTGGATTTAATAGATTTCAAGCAACAAAAAATGGAGAGGGAGGCTGCTAGAAACTTGGATTAATTCTACAAATGCAGTGAAGAAAGGTGTGTATGAGTTGATAAATGTTTTGTGGTTCCTTTGACAAGCAATCTTGAGAAACTAAGTCACTGTAATGTATTCTTTTTTGTCATAACTAAAACGACTTAACAAGTATGTATGGTAATTATAAAGGATTTGGTTGGGAGTTAAATACAGTATTATTGCCAGATAATTTTCTTTGTAATAACCCCCAATGTTGTACCCTGAAATACAAGAAAAGCATTGGTTTGAAATATGACTTGTATTAACAGGTAATTTTAATTAAATGGCTACAATGTGCAAACACATCATACAGTACCTGTACATCCCTCATTACTACTGGTAATTCTTTCTTTATAAATGTAAAAATATAACTTGAAGCAAGCTGTCTCACAGCAGCATTATGGCTCTTATATAATGATGATAATATTTGCTACTTATGATTGGAATGATTACGTTTCCACCAAGATCTCTGAGGATATTAAGTGTCCCATTATATGTCCAGTGGTTTTTGTGTGGAATTACTTAATTTTTTCTATTGTTTCAGGTTAGGAAGCCATCGCATGCTAAGGCACATCCACGTCATTCTGGTGGTTAGTATATACTGTACAGAGTTTTTTAGCCTAGCTAATTGGAATTCTTGCTAAGATATGATATTGATCTGAATGAAACTGGCAGAAAAATAAATTTAAATTGGTGGTATTGAACTTTGGGTTTGTTTGAATACTATTTTGATAACCCTGTATGCTAAGAGTTTTAAAATGTCACTGCAGATTTTCCAGAGACAAACTGCACTACATTTATTTTATCTGTTGGGTATACAGTACAGTATTTTCAGTTCCTGTGTTGATTTGCTCTCCTGCCTTTACTCACTATGATGATAACTGGATATGACAGTCTATGATTAGTCAACATTGCACTCTAATTTTTTTCTGACAAGGTTTTTAAATATATACTGTATTATTTTTTCCCGATTTCAGAAATTTTTATTTACCTTATCTTTACAGGTATGTGATGTTAGCCGAGTTCAAGTTTGATTATCACAAGGTAGGTTGCTTTAGTATGTAAAAATTTAAATTCAAATTTTTTACTTGGCTCATTACAAATTAGTCCACCATTAAAATATTGGCCAAAGTTCCCAAATTAAAAGCTTTCTGTAATGGCAGAAAGGCGTTTCTTTTGAAAAATGATGATCGTGTAATATTTACGGCGAGTGGAACATTAAAATTTTATGTAATTTGGTGGAATTATTTAAGGCCTAGAAAACACTTCAGTACATCACCTCTCCATAGTGACACAAATTAAAAGCATGCCCGCTATGGTGTAGCAACCTGGAAGTCTTGTGTTGCCTGATACTTTACAGTTGGCTAAAACTGGATGATTAACATAATAGTTCTCAAATTTACTGCTGGGTCACAGTGCTGGCAGACTCTGCACACCTGAGCAATATGTTGTGCACCATAATGCAGGAGAGATGGATATATATTGACAATGAAGTCATAATTCAGACATAGTGGATCCTGGAGGTATCAATAAGTCCAGGAACAGGACTTGGACTGTGCTAACTAAAATTATTTGTGGGAAAATTCAAAACTTCAAAAGATTTGAGCGTCAATCTAGAAAACCCTTCAATCTTATCCAAGGGCACTGAAAAGTTTTTGAGGAAAAAAGGTTGATAGTTTGTTTGGGATATTAATTTGCAAGAGGGTTATTGTAAAGGTATTAAACATATTTTTAGCTTCCCAAAAGCACCAGTCTGGATTTGTTCCCTTCTGGCCGTCAAGAGGAAGTAGAATATTTTCTTTTCTATTGGGTGAGTCAAGCAAGCTATTCATGCACTATGCCTCAATGAGAAAAGGTACAATTGAATTTGTCACCGTAATCTAGGTTTTAATTTTTTTAGGAAGGTTTTAACTTCACACTAATTTTTCTATATTATTGTTTCCTCAGGTAAAATGGCTGGTCATGGTCGGGATTACTTTGCTAAACAAAGTGAATATGAACACAACTTTAGTGGAATGAGAAGGGGGGGGGGTACTTTTGACCAAGATCCTGTGGATTTAATAGATTTCAAGCAACAAAAAATGGAGAGGGAGGCTGCTAGAAACTTGGATTAATTATACAAATGCAGTGAAGAAAGGTGTGTATGAGTTGATTAATGTTTTGTGGTTCCTTTGACAAGCAATCTTGAGAAACTAAGTCACTGTAATGTATTCTTTTTTGTCATAACTAAAACGACTTGACAAGTATGTCGATGGTAATTATAAAGGGTTTGGTTGGGAGTTAAATACAGTATTAATGCCAGATAATTTTCTTTGTAATAACCCCCAATGTTGTACCCTGAAATACAAGAAAAGCATTGGTTTGAAATATGACTTGTATCAACAGGTAATTTTAATTAAATGGCTACAATGTGCAAACACATCATACAGTACCTGTACATCCCTCCTTACTACCGGTAATTCTTTCTTTATAAATGTAAAAATATAACTTGAAGCAAGCTGTCTCACAGCAGCATTATGGCTCTAATATAATGATAATATTTGCTACTTATGATTGGAATGATTACATTTCCACCAAGATCTCTGAGGATATTAAGTGTCCCATTATATGTCCAGTGGTTTTTGTGTGGAATTACTTAATTTTTTCTATTGTTTCAGGTTAGGAAGCCATCGCATGCTAAGGCACATCCACGTCAATCTGGTGGTTAGTATATACAGAGTTTTTTAGCCTAGCTAATTGGAATTCTTGCTAAGATATGATATTGATCTGAATGAAACTGGCAGAAAAATAAATTTAAATTGGTGGTATTGAACTTTGGGTTTGTTTGAATACTATTTTGATAACCCTGTATGCTGAGAGTTTTAAAATGTCACTGCAGATTTTCCAGAGACAAACTGCACTACATTTATTTTATCTGTTGGGTATACAGTACAGCATTTTCAGTTCCTGTGTTGATTTGTTCTCCTGCCTTTACTCACTATGATGATAACTGGATATGACAGTCTATGATTAGTCAACATTGCACTCTAATTTTTTTCTGACAAGGTTTTTAAATATATACTGTATTATTTTTTCCCCACTTCAGAAATTTTTATTTACCTTATCTTTACAGGTATGTGATGTTAGCCGAGTTCAAGTTTGATTATCACGAGGTAAGTTGCTTTAGTATGTAAAAATTTAAATTCAAATTTTTTACTTGGCTCATTACAAATTAGTCCACAATTGATTAAAATATTGGCCAAAGTTCCCAAATTAAAAGCATTCTGTAATGGCAGAAAGGCGTTTCTTTTGAAAAATGATGATCGTGTAATATTTACGGCGAGTGGAACATTAAAATTTTATGTAATTTGGTGGAATTATTTAAGGCCTAGAAAACATTGCAGTACATCACCTCTCCATAGTGACACAAATTAAAAGCATGCCCGCTATGGTGTAGCAACCTGGAAGTCTTGTGTTGCCTGATACTTTACAGTTGGCTTAAACTGGATGATTAACATAATAGTTGTCAAATTTACTGCTGGGTCACTGTGCTGGCAGACTCTGCACACCTGAGCAATATGTTGTGCACCATAATGCAGGAGAGATGGATATATATTGACAATGAAGTCATAATTCAGACATAGTGGATCCTGGAGGCATCAATAAGTCCAGGACTTTGACTGTGCTAACTTAAATTATTTGTGGGAAAATTCAAAACTTCAAAAGATTTGAGCGTCAGTCTAGAAAACCCTTCAATCTTATCCAAGGTTACTGAAAAGTTTTTGAGGAAAAAAAGTTGATAGTTTGTTTGGGATATTAATTTGTAAGAGGGTTGTTAAGGTATTAAACATATTTTTAGCTTCCCAAAAGCACCAGTCTGGATTTGTTCCCTTCTGGCCGTCAAGAGGAAGTAGAATATTTTCTTTTCTATTGGGTGAGTCAAGCAAGCTATTCATGCACTATGCCTCAATGAGAAAAGGTACATTTGAATTTGTCACAGTAATCTAGGTTTTAATTTTTTTAGGAAGGTTTTAACGTCACACTAAGATTTCTATATTGTTTCCTCAGGTAAAATGGCTGGTCATGGTCGGGATTACTTTGCTAAACAAAGTGAATATGAACACAACTTTAGTGGAATGAGAAGGAGCGGGGGGGTACTTTTGACCAAGATCCTGTGGATTTAATAGATTTCAAGCAACAAAAAATGGAGAGGGAGGCTGCTAGAAACTTGGATTAATTCTACAAATGCAGTGAAGAAAGGTGTGTATGAGTTGATTAATGTTTTGTGGTTCCTTTGACAAGCAATCTTGAGAAACTAAGTCACTGTAATGTATTCTTATTTGTCATAACTAAAACGACTTAACAAGTATGTCGATGGTAATTATAAAGGGTTTGGTTGGGAGTTAAATACAGTATTATTGCCAGATAATTTTCTTTGTAATAACCCCCAATGTTGTACCCTGAAATACAAGAAAAGCATTGGTTTGAAATATGACTTGTATCAACAGGTAATTTTAATTAAATGTCTACAATGTGCGAACACATCATACAGTACCTGTACATCCCTCTTTACTACCGGTAATTCTTTCTTTATAAATGTAAAAATATAGCTTGAAGCAAGCTGTCTCACAGCAGCATTATGGCTGTCTTATATAATGATAATATTTGCTACTTATGATTGGAATGATTACATTTCCACCAAGATCTCTGAGGATATTAAGTGTCCAATTATATGTCCAGTGATTTTTGTGTGGAATTACTACTTTTATTCTATTGTTTCAGGTTAGGAAGCCATCGCATGCTATGGCACATCCACGTCAATCTGGTGGTTAGTATATACAGAGTTTTTTAGCCAAGCTAATTGGAATTTTTGCCAAGATATGATATTGATCTGAATGATACTGGCAGAGAAATAAATTTAAATTGTGGTGGTATTGAACTTGGGGTTTGTTTGAATACTAATTTGATAACCCTGTATGCCAAGAGATTTAAAATGTCACTGCAGATTTTCCAGAGACAAACTGCACTACATTTATTTTATCTGTTGGGTATACAGTACAGCATTTTCAGTTCCTGTGTTGATTTGTTCTCCTGCCTTTACTCACTATGATGATAACTGGATATGACAGTCTATGATTAGTCAACATTGTGCACTAGTTTTTTTCTGACTAAGGTTTTTAAATCTATACTGTAATATTTTTCCCCCACTTCAGAAATTTTTATTAACCTTATCTTTACAGGTATGTGATGTTAGCCGAGTTCAAGTTTGATTATCACGAGGCAAGTTGCTTTAGTATGGAAAAATTTAAATTAACAATTTTTAACTTGGCTCACTACAAATTAGTCCACCATTGATTAGAATATTGGCCAAAATTCCCAAATTGAAAGCATTCTGCAATGGAAGAGAGAGGTCTTGGAGTTTAAAGATGATGCTGGTCAAGTAGTAATTTGTGTGAAAATGTTCACTAGAACCTTTCGGTGATATAACTTCTGCCTAACGCAATCTCCATTTTGAAAATGGGCTAGAGTACCTTATATAAAACAGTGTCATTACTGCTATACATTAAAGATAAAAAATGAAATCATTGCAGAAACCTTTACATCTTTGCAAAACTTTCTTTACTTTTAGGTGAGGCTGCTGTTTTAAATGCGTAACAAATGTCACAATTCCCAATTTTTCGGATCTTTCGTACTCGAATATTTCGGGCACCAATTTTTCAGGACCTCACACTTATTGTACATGTACTGCATTGATTATTTCACAACTACGGTGTTTGGAACTTTTAACTTCGGTTCATAAAGAACAAGGATGCTGTTGACATACCCTCATTCTTATTCTAGTAATCTTGGTTTGAATTAGAAATCTACAATGGTTCTCCAACAATTACTTGTCGCACTGTGGAAGAACTACTGCTTCAGTGTTTAGTAGTTTGAGGATTTAGAATAAAAAAAATATATAAGTAAAATTTTGTAAACAATTACTCTGAACAATTGATGGTTTATGTAAGTCGCTGAATTGTATGACAGGTTAGGTTGTGGTGGACTATTTTTGTTAACTCTTAAATTTCTCGCTTACAGTGTACAGCAGGATGACAAAGAATTCACAAGGGTATTGGTCAAAAACTACTGCTACAATATGAAATGATCTACAGGGGATGGCTGCACTGCTTGAGAGAACTTCTCTAGTGAGATATTGAATTTCTGTTGTGTAGTGACAACTATTGAAAATGCAAGCCCATATACTACATTCATGTGGTATGTCTTATGCTTGGAAGAACCAGTTTTGAAGAGATTGTATATACACTCTTACCTCATTAATTTAATGTGCTCTGAGCTCTACCCCATTTTAAAGGCCCCTTTTTGTGCTTTGCATAATATTTGTCCAAAGTTAAGTAGCTGTAAGTCTGTCTTAATGAAACATTACTATATTTTGCTTATGACCTACAAATAGTACATGTGGGGTGATAACACTAATAACATTAGGTCATAATGTTTGCTTCACACTGTAGGCGCATGATATGGAACCGAACAGACCGTCATGTGCGATCCTTAATGAAACTAATTCTTTCACCTGTACAACTAGCTAAAATGTTTTCATTGTCAGTCTAGGCAGTACCAACACCTGAATAATCAAATGTTACCTTTGTATTGCAAGGCTAATTACATAATGGAAAAGTTTACTGTATAATACGGTGCTATCGCTAATGGTTACCAAGTTAATATTTATCACAATCTTTTCTAAAACTTACTGAAGGCCTGCATGGAAACTGTCTGTTCCAACCTGCTTGGAACTTGTACTGCATGGTTATCTCTTGTATAAATTTTGTATTGTTTCTGGAAATGCCCAAACACTTGAAAGCAAATATAAAGATGGATGTAATATATTTAATGAGCAAAAAAAAAATTTTCTAATTAGTCAGTACTGTAGTGAGGTTCTAGTGTATAGAGAAATGGTTTATCTACATCTTGATATTTAATGATGATATAACATCTTTCACCTGAATTTCTTGTTGACACATTTGTCCCAACATTCTGAGGATATTTGGCCAGATAAGTTATGGTAATTTGGTAATAGTTTATTAAATATATGCTGTACTTCCTTTACAGGAACTTGTTTAACATTTGGAGAATGAGCTGACGAAGAACAAGCTGTAAACAGTTGGATTCATGAATCAGGTTAGTAATGAAGTTATTCCACCATGTGGATCCTAAAGTCCCTTTATATGTCTGAATTTCTTGGCTAAAATGTGCAAATGCCTAAAGAGGTTGATATTACTTCAGCTTTTAAAAAATTATGGGGTAAAGCTGATGATAACACGGCACCAGATCTGATTTACAATATGCTGCAAAAATCTTAGTTGAAACTGAAACTCTGAAAGCATTTTTATTTTACTGTGGTTAATATCAAGGTTAATAGAGACTACTTCACAGGTTTTCAAGATGATGAAATGACCTGCCTACAGTTGTGAAGTTATGGTTGTTTAAAAAAGACTACAGTAACTTTATTTGTACCCATGGTTCAGGTATGAATTTTCATTTTTAACTTCTAATTAAATCTGCATTGATGTAATTTTGGAGACCTACCTCATTATATCACCTGGTTTGACAATGAACAATATGGTACACCTAGTTTAATATTAAAGTATCCTGTGTTAACAAAGACCTGATGTCACTACATAATATGTTGACTTATCAGTTTCAAAATGATGATAAATTCTTCTCTGAAATATTGCTATGTTATAACTATTAGCTCTAACTGAAGTAAATGCAAAAGAATGATGTAATTATTAGAATACTGGTACATATCCATAATTAACACCATTATATTCAACAGGAAATTGCATTCCTGAAGACATTTACTGTTGGGTTGGAGGAGTTGCTGTATATTACTAGGTAAATACACAGATTTTGAGGTCCCCTAAAATTTTTCTAACACTATCGATCATGATTTATTTTATTCTATTTATTGTAAATATAATCTCTTCCTTTTGATGAAGCGGTAAGGAAGTATCGTTGACTATATGGACATAAATTAGGTGGTGTTTTAATGACATGATGATAAAACTTGTGTGTGAGACTTTGTGATCACTATCAGCTACTACTGAAGAAATGTGTAAAATGTTTCCTGTTGACATGACTTGAATTTATAGTAATAGTATACTGTACTATAATTTCAGGTCTACACTTGGTTCACTGTGGTCGATCAACACTAGGGGGTAAGTTTTACATGTGTGTGCTGTCTGCCTTGTGTAAATGACAGTTGTTCAGATATTTAGAAATAAAGATTGAAGACTAATTGAATTAGATAAATGCTTGTATTAGGATATTTTGGTAACACCTTCAAGGTCATTAATGAATGTGTTGCATCAAAAACTAATAGATATCATTTTATAAACCGCAACAGACAAATGGCTCTCATTCCACCAATCTCGATCACTTCTGCTAGACATGTACTTGATCATCGGGAGTCCTTACATCAGGCTCATCCAGGATGGGCAATCAAAAGCTAATCCAAGATGGGAGAAAGTGGGCAGGGTTATTTGAAATTTCCTGATGAACATGCAACTTCAAAGTTCATTGAAACAGTTAGTTGGTTTGATTTTAATACTAGATTTGATTATTTTGAATTGGAGCATTAGTCCATACTTTTTATTATGCTGTATATATTTATGCAATGGATTAAGTCATGTGTACACAACGTGCACAGTATCCTTTGGATGGTTGCAGCTACCGACAGCCTTCAATTAATTTGCCTGAAAATAAGAAACGGGTGTAAAGTAATTTTTGCTTTTATTAATATTTAGATGTTGAAATAATTGAGAAAAATAGATGGTATTGTGTAAAAAAAATTCTGTACTGAATGTTAACTTGCCTCGAAGTTGTGTATACCGAATAAATTACTACTTGGCAACTTAAAATATAAGTTAACAATACTATACCAGGTGGTAAAATACTAAGAAAGCTTGACAAGACCTGTGATAGGTACTGTAGACCGACAAGAAAGTTAGTAAATTTAATTAACACCAAATGCATTCTTCACAAACCAATAATTCCTAAAGCAAAGTCATTAACAAACAAAAGATATTCAATAATTTATAGACAAATATTAACCAACGATACAGGTGGACTTCATATATTGTTGTTGTCTTGCATCAATAGCCCTTGTTGTGGTTAAACTAAACTCTCATGTGGTACAGTTTTAAGTTATGATTTATTATTACAGAAATTTTTCATCCATTTGTCCATATAAACCTTAACTTGAATAAACAATTATCATGGTTTCCTTGCACTAAGGTTTTACACTTTAAATAATATTTCCCTTTTAACTGTAATTGAGATGCAAAAGTATAATTTAAATATTACTGCAGGTGCTGTTCAGTTACGAACAAAATTCCATTGATACTTAGTAGTATCTGGCATGCTGTAACTTGATGGTTATTAGGAGTTTTGGGATTGGAATTTTAATCAATTGAATTATTCTATTGGGGGAGGGAGGGGAGGGTTACACTACAACAGTTTTATGGAAATTTGTCTACATTAGTATATTTTTAAATTGCTGTATTATATAGAAAACCTTTTAATGGTTATAAATGGGATTGTTAATTTTAGATTTGATTTTGTACAGAAATAACTTGTGGATGGTGGTTATCAAGTTCAACTGTCGTGCCAGCCTCTGCCGTGGTCTGCCAAATAATAATATATTAAGCCATTACATTTTCAGTAATAAACTATAAAAGCCATTCTATGTATTTATTCACCTTATTCTCTGCATACCTTTGAACTTTTCCAGAGATTTAAGTTCAACTTTCAGATAGATATTTTACTTTCAGTCAAAGTGGATGCCTAAAATATTACCAGTAAACCATATTAAAATATATATTGAAAATACTGGGGGTCCCCGGGTTGCTAATTATTCGTGTTCTTGAGGACGTCCTTAAGTCGGAACACATACCCAATGTGCACTATAACATAACCCAAGTCCCTTTATACATCTCGAATCACTTGAGATATATACAGTGACCCCTCGGTTAACAATTTACCTTCCATAAGATTCTTAACTTCGGTTAATGAGCAATCCCTCGATTAACGAGTTTTTTTACAAGCCGACCTCAACATGTTTTCGCTTGCATTTGGCGGTCCACCAGCTGTAGTATTAGTCCGCTAGTACAGTAATCGGTTTTAGGGCTTGAATTCCTTACTATTTTAGTAAATATTAAGTTATACTATTCAATAATTTTAAAAGTTTAATAATTTTTTTTAGTCATTTTAACAATTATTGAACATAATTGAAGGTAAAGAAACTAGTTTCTGGTGTGCCATCCAGCCTGTTAAAACACAAACAGGCATTAGTCTCTCTTTCAGTGGAGGTAACATATTGCTTGACTCCAACTAAACACTTTTTTGTTTCCAAGCAAATTATTGGTCATTTTGAAATTTATTTTACATATTGTTAATATATATATATTGCAGTGCAGTTTTGATTTAAAGAAAATAATCGTTAATTACACCAAGAGAACTAAAATTTTATGGGTGAAATAGCACCATGGGGTGACTTCTCTTCCATCCCAATGCCTTCCCTTCTCCACCCCCATTATATTTCCCATCATCCAGGGGCCTTCTACATACACACCTCAAAGTAAGTGTACTTTTCTACCTTTTTTGTTGAATTTAGGCAATTTTCTGTGAGCTGAAACCAATTACCCATTGAAACAATGGTTTATGTTAATGAGATTTTGGTTAACGTGCAACCTGCTGGAACAGATTGTGCTCGTTAACCGAGGGACCACTGTACAGTATAATAAATTTGAAAACATTAGAGTAAGATGTAGGATGGATGATCAGTGGGTTCCTTTTTTTTATCTGATTTAACATGACCTGTTGCATCCCTTTCTTTTAAGCTCCTTTGTGTGTGTGGATTAGTGGATGTCATGTTTATGACCCGACTTCATGTTTAGTAAGGTCACCCTGTGTACTTAAGCCCCTCTCTGTCCTTGTATTTCAGTTTGCCCTGATGATGCCTTGAATAAAGTTGAAAGCTAAGGTGCTCCATTGTTTCCCTTTTTCATGTGATTTTATCAAGATTTATCTTATCGATTTTATTATTATATATATAATAAAAAAAAAAAATAATATATATATATATATATATATATTAAATGTTTATTGGAAGACATGGCAGCCGGAAGGCTGTAATAACTAGGTGGGGTGAAGATCAAACTACAGGGCATTTCAACATAGTGACTGCAAAATGTAATAATGACTGGGAGTGAATACACTGGTTGATCACACGTTATTGGTAATTTTTTCGATGGTTGGTACTGGGCTGTTCTGACGAGGGATCTTGGGTGATAGAAGCAGGTGTCAAGGATGGTACAGAAGCTTCTCGCCAAATTTGCAGATGAGGTCGTGGTGATGGTGAGTGAGAGCCGAGAGGGTCAGTGTGTTGAATGCTTCTTGATATGTGGAGTAGGAAGGGGAAAGAAGAATCTTGCATGTACTTTTCCTAGGTGTTGACGTTGTGGTATTTAGGGAGGAAGACCAGGTAGGGGAGGCATAGGTGAGCTTGGGAAGTATGAATGTCGAATAAACACCGAGGAGCTCGGGGGCAGGAACTTCGAGGGACGTGAGTCAGTGGTGGAGACGGAAGCTGGAGGATTTGACAACCTCGCTGACGTGTGATTTCCAATTTAGTTTGTTGTCTTTGGTGACGCTGAGGAGCTTCGTGGAATCTACAACCTGGAGTGTGTTGGGATCTAAAGTAATGGTAGGGGGTGGGACAATGTCGGAGGAGAGGTTGCTGAGCATAACCACGGTCTTGGTATGGTATTTGGTGGCCCAGTTTTGGAGACTTCAATAAATCCTGAAGGGCAGTATAGTCGGGAGCAGAATTGTTGACACTGATCCCAATGGTGGAGTCGTTGACATATTTCCAGTGAGCAGGGGTTTCTCTTAGGGCATCATTGATAAGCATGAGGAAGCATAGTGGTCCCATCTTGGTGTCTTGGGGGACGCCACAGGTGAGTGACAAAGGTGGAGACAGCCCCTCGGAAGCGTACAGCATGGCGTCTGTTACTGAGGAAGTCTGCAAGCCATAGTATAAGACTTCTTCGAAACCTGATGTCGTTAGCTTTGTTGATTAAATTGTGGTCGACTAGGTTGAACGCCATGAAGGCGACAGCTACTGACGTTTTTCGTTTCTCCATATGGCAATATATGTAGTCGAGAAACCTGACAAGACAGTGACTGGTGAAGGAAGTTTTCATGTTATCAAATTGGTGAGTGTCTACGGTGCCTGCAATATAAGCATAGGCCCAGTCAAACAAAACTTTCACAGATTAAGCTGGGTTTTGGGTTGATTGCCATTTTTTCTTTTGTTTTGTTGTGCCATGTTTGCCCTCATTAGTATATTGATCTTTAACGTAATTCAAGTTGATAATTTATGACATAACAATATATATATATATATATATAGAGAGAGAGAGAGAGAGAGAGATAAATCATTAAAACTTAAAATATTAAGTTTTTCATGATAAATTTTAAGTTTTGGGGAAAAATACAGAAATTTTGCCCTTTGTTTCACCCCCAAATCAATATTATGTTCCAAGTTTGGCTAATGATAATTCAAGGTGTCCGGAGAAAAGCTCCTTCAAACTTTCATTAACGAATAAAATGTAAAATAAAAAAAGCACAACAAACTACCTACAGTACATTGGGAAGAATAACGTGGTGGGCCAATAAAGGGCTAGTATAGGTGCTGTAGTTTCATAAACCGCAGTAATGTGCCGCCCGCCAATAACTGATGAGCACTGAGTGTCGGGTTATAAAAATTCTGGAACCTACACGAAGCTCCCACCCCATGTCTAGGTAGGATGGTGTGGCTTATAATAAACATGAAAACGGAGATAGCAAGCTGGAACTCTTAATTGAGTCATATATACTGTATATGTCTCACTATTGTATCCTGGGTTCAACTCCCAGTCCAAGATACGTATGGAGAAGGTATTTTCAGTGACTGCTAATTACAGCATCGCAAAATAGTTTTGAGTATGAGGAATTTACAAGGTTTGTAAATTTTAATACTGTAGTGTAATCGGTTACAGTATGTAACTACGATGAGTTTTGAGTACGTATCTCGGAATACCATACGTTCTGGCAGTGAAATCTTACAGATTACCTTAAAGTTACCTTGAAAATAAATCATCTTTGAAATTACTTACAGTAGATGAGTTAAATTTTCTCACGTACGGTAATTACTTTTGAAGTGAGAGCCAGACTGGCGCCCGGTGCCTGAGTTAAGGTTATTGTACCGCATAAGGTTACCTGACTGATACCAGCGTTGCTAGAGTATGATGATTAGAATATTTATTTAAAACCTTAGCTTCAAATATACATTGAATACCATTATTTCTAATTTCATAAGTGTTATTAGATAATTATTGGAATTATCGAGTAAAATAATAATTTTAGTCGTGTGTTTATACCTTCATGCAATTTTTTAAGGCTATTTATACAAATGCCGTTGACTATATACAGTTTATTAATGATGAATACTGTAAAACGTTATAGCCAGATCATTTTAGTCTGCATTATTAAAAATGAGAATGACGCACGTACGAGTTTCGCATATTTTCAGTGTCAGACTCACAATTAAGGTTACTGTTGCTAAGTTACTAGTTCAATACAAACCTTTCGTTTTATGTTGATTGATTTTACGCAGTTATATAAATGAGAACTTAAATGATTTTTTTTAACAAGTCTAAAAACATCTTCCTAATAATTAAAATATTGAGGAAAATAGAGACAGAAGAAGAGGAGCGTTTGGCACCACTGTCAGGGACGTTGAAGGTCACAGCGGTCGAGGCAGCGGGCAGACGACACACCTCACAGCCGGCACTGTCTCCCTCCCTCAGTCTCCTTCAGTCTGTCTTTCTGTTCGTTGATTTACAGGACTCCTCTTCAAAATGGCCAAGTATCAGATTGTTATGGTCCGTCATGGAGAGAGCGAATGGAACAAGCTCAACAAATTCTGTGGGTGGCACGACGCTGAACTCTCCGAGCAGGGTGAGAATTTTGTTGCTTGGAGAAAAAAAAAAATCTCGGCAAGTAGAGAATGTATTCCACTCACTTCCTGGCAACTTAGACAGAAAGTCATCCAGATTTCAAATTACGTAGGTTTCTGATAGTGATTAAAGTAATTTAATAGAATATGGCAGGCTACTCTCCATCAATTCTCTTCAAAAGATAAGCTTAGGAGGTTGCTAATAGATTGAGATGTCTTGATCTATTTGTAGCACATCATATTTACTCAATATGATTACGAGGAGGAAGTACAGTTAGCTGTATTTATTAATGTGAATTACCCTTAATGGTTTGGTAAATTGCAGGTTACAGCAATCAAAGTGTCTGATATTTTTTTTTACCTAATCTAACCTAATTTAATATAAGAAAATGAGCATAGACAAAACAGTACTATCGATGGGTCCGACTAATTACCCAAATGTAGCCAAATATAGCCGGAATGAAGTCAAATAATGGTCCTAGATGAATAAATCGGACTGCTAATCACTTCTCGACTAGTATTTGGTGTCACAAAGTCACAAAAAATTGGTAAACTTAATTTAATCTGAGTTAATAGATCGAGTGCATGTACCTAACCTAACCTCGACTAGTATTTGGTGTCACGAAGTCACAAAAAATTGGTAAACTTAATTTAATCTGAGTTAATAGATCAAGTGCATGTACCTAACCTAACCTAACACAACACAACTCAGATTAAATTAAGTTTCCCAATTTTTTTTGACTGACACCAAATAATAATCGAGAAGTGATTCACAGGCCGAATTACGCTTGTACGACCATCATTTGACTTCATTGCGGCTACATTTGGGTACATTTGGGTAATTCCTCGCTCCGTCGGTACATGCACGCGATCTATTAACTCAGATTAAAGTAAGTTTTCCAATTTTTTGTGACTTTCTGACACCAAATACTAGTCGAGAAGTGATTAGCAGTCTGATTTATTCATGTACGACCATTATTTGACTTCATTGCGGCTACATTTGGGTAATTAGTCGGACCGGGAATGAGAGATCTTTCGGGCAGAATATTCTTTCTATTCCTCCTGGATTCATGTACCATAGATAACTGAATTATTTTCCAGATTTGAGCTGTAAAGGATGTAGGAATTTGTTTTGTTGGTTTCTACTTTTCTGCAGAATTTGCAGAATTAATCGTAAAGGTGTGCTTGGGATAAATACGATGACTACTGATATACAGTACATTACATATACTGTTGCAGTTTTTGATTGTGTCCTATTCTCTAAGGAATTTGACTAAATTGTGCAGTTGATCTCTCTTCTTTAGTATTTAAGTATTTCTACAGGCTGGTTTCAGAGAAGAGTTCTCAGGTTCCATGCTTGCAGCAGAACATTAAAATAATGTTCTGTAGTAGACGATTTCGAGTTGGCATCCATGAAGGTGGTCTTCATATATGGATCTGAGAAAATACGATTTTGTAGCTACACTCCATTCTTATTTAATACCTGTAATACCTAACTGATGAATTAATGTATAGTTAATTTGACCCAGAATAGCTGACAAAGCCATTAGAAGCTTGTATCCATTAGGGTCCTCATGCCAGCAGCATCTGGTGTTCCCTCAAATACTAACCAGACCCAACATTGCTAAACTTCACTGATCGGATGGCAAGTGGTGCTCTTGCAGCCTTTTCCTACCGCTTACTTTTTATCACAAAGGACCTATTGTTTCTTCCATACCACAGTAGTAGAGGAGTAAAGATAAGAGATAGATAGAAGATCTATGTTTCATTTCAATAATATTTTTTTCTATGATCACCAGGTGTAAAGGAGGCTCACGCTGCAGGGAAGGCATTAAAGGACGCAAGCTTCAAGTTTGATGTTGCACACACTTCGGTCCTTACTCGTGCCCACAAAACATTGTTTGCTATCCTAGAAGAGATTGACCAGAAAGACATCCCAATTTACAAGACTTGGCGACTCAATGAGCGTCACTACGGTGGTCTTACTGGACTGAACAAGGCTGAAACTGCCCTGAAGCATGGAGAGGAGCAGGTAGGATAAATAGATTGTTAGGTAGATGAAAATGCTCATCCAAAATACTGAAGGTAGATGAATTAAAGTGTACAGAATCTTGACTTGGCACCCTTAACTTGTCCCTTTGCTCTTACAGCAATCACTTTTCCATATACAGTATATTACATTCATACACATTCACATATTCCAGCATTGTTTTAGGTAACAAGAATATTTATTTTCATAAACATGATAATGAAAAGTGTTTTGCAAAGAAGAATTACAGGTCCAGGATCCTTTATCAACAAACCTTGGGGCTGAATGCATTTTGGTTATCAGATTTTTGTTTCTGGATGTTTATGCCTACTTACATTACAATAGCCTAGGTTTAGGCTAGCTTAAACAGGCCCAGAGCCAGACTTCCTACCTTTATTTACCAGTACATCACCACTTCTATATCTTGTATTTAAGCTATTTTGAAGTGTGTGATTTAAACTTCTGTGGAATATGACGAGTTTACAATACAGTAAAAGAGTAAAGTCGTGTTTTACAGCGCTAGCATTGTAATCCGAAACCCATGATGAAGAATTTCGGTAAAGTGACAACAAAACTTTGAGGTGAAAGTCTACAGTAAATGGGGAACTTTACCAAAAATCTTCATCTGTTTCAGAACATAAGGCATGGTAAGGTTAATGCGACTTCTTTCTTTGACTAAATTCCCCCCCCCCCTTTTTTTTTTTTTTAAATTCTAACAGAATATTGCTTTTGATAGTTTGGAATCTAAACTATCAAAAGCAAACTTTAGACGATTGTGTTTGTTTTGGATGTAGGTGAAGATCTGGCGCCGTAGCTTTGATGTTCCTCCTCCACCTATGGATGAGAGCAACCCACACTACAAGGAAATTGTGGAGGATCCCCGTTATGCAGATGGCCCCAGCAAATCAGAATTTCCCATGTTTGAATCCCTTAAGCTGTGAGTAATACTTAAATAGTGATAGTACTGTACTGTAGTATAGTAATAATAGAGCTAAATTTAAGTTATTTTAGTGGAGGCACATGCATCTTAACACATTATAAAATGCTTGTATTGAAGTTGTAGTTTTCAAGTACAATATTATATCTTAGTTCATTGAAGTTTAATAAGAGTGAAATTTTCAATATTCAAAATGGGTGAGGATTAGTTGACAAGATTTATTCTGATAAATATCTTGGTACTGATGCATTTTATTTTGGGAACCAGGACAATTGAAAGGACTCTGCCTTACTGGAATGATGTCATTGTGCCCCAGATGAAGAAAGGAGAGAAGATTCTCATTGCTGCTCATGGAAACTCTCTACGAGGCATTGTCAAACATCTGGATGGTGAGTACTGTACATATGCTGTATTCAGTATATATTTAAACACTGAAGATTTATGGTATGTGGCAGAGCACACAAAAATAATCAGTTTGATATGATCTATTAGCCAATTGCAAACTTGATTTAAGTTGCTTACATGTCAGAATTAGTTTGAAGGTTCACTTACAACTTAAATTGAAATGAGTTGGATCTTAAATGTGTGTTGCATGTTAAGGTTTAAGGTCTTAAAAATATATATAATAAGGCCTTTACTGATAACAACTAGTGGAAAAGGTTGTACAGTAGAGGTATATGCTACTGTGGTTTGGCAGGTGAAAGCCATGTTTATTAAAGTGATTTCTATTTCTGCTGTAATGATTGTTGAATCACCGGGGTGACCCGCCAGAACAGTAATCATTAAGGCTTGTGTGTATATATATATATATACAGTGACCCCTCGTTTAACGAACGCCTCGGTTAACGAACTGCCTTCCATAAGGATCTTCAATTCGGTTCACGAATTTCTTACGAACCGACCTCAACATGTTTTCGTTTGCACTGACCGGGCAACCAGCTTTAGTATCAGTCCGCCAATACATTAATCGGTTCTAGGGTTTAAATTCCTTACTATTTTAGTAAATATCAAGAATTTATACTATTCAATAATTTTAAAAGTTTAATATTAAATTTTTTAGTCATTTTAACAATTATTGAACATAATTGAAGGTAAAGTGACTAGTTTAATGCGCGGCATCCAGCCTCTTAACACAGCAAACAGGCGTTAGTCTCTCTCTGTTTTCACTGGAGGTAACATCTTGCTTGAGACTCTCTTCAACTAAACGCTTTTTTTCTGTGTTTCCAAGCAAATTATTGGTCATTTTGAAATATATTTTACATATTGACAATATATAATGCAGTGCAGTGTTGATTTAAAGAAAATAATCTTGAAATACACCAAGAGAACTAAAATTTTATGGGTGAAATGGTGCCATGGGGTGACTTCTCTTCCATCCCAATGCCTTCTCTTCTTCCTTCTCCTCCACCCCCATTCTAATTCCCATCATCATCATCATCCAGGAGCCTTCTACATACACACCTCAAAGTAAGTGAACTTTTCTACCATTTTTGTTGAATTTAGGAAATTTTCGGTGAGCTGGAACCAATTACCCAAAAACCCATTGAAACAATGGTTTCAGTTAACGAACTTTTCGGTTAACGAACGACCTTCTGGAACGGATTGAGTTCGTTAACCGAGGGGTCACTGTATATATATATTGATAAAATCACACAGGGAAAAGGGAAACAATGGAGCACCTTAGCTTTCGTCTTTATTCAAAATATACATTAGAGACAAGTCTAAAACAAAATGTTTTGAAGAAATTCTCTAACAGACTTTCATAGGATTTTCTGTCACATGAGGATTTTGTTTCATCCTTCATTGCATTTTCAAAATGAAAACATAATGCTTCATATTTATGTCACACTTCCGACACTGTTGGCTACCCACCTGGTGCTCAGAACACGGCCTATTTTACAAATATGTTGTTCTAGGAATCTAGTTGAACAGCACATTCAGTCAGTTGCCTCTGATTTAGAGGTGATCTGTAGGTGGTGATTGGAGGTCCAGCAGCAATGCACCCCTGCACAAGACTACTGTACAATATATGACATAATTACAGTATCCCTCGAGATACAGGAATTTTCATTAACAGAATCTGAAAAGTATGAAGCTGGTACTGTACTGTATTGAAATAATAAAGAGAAATTCTCAACAGAAAGTATCCAAAAGTTTCTGGAGTTAAGACTAGGGTCAGATGTATGCTACAGTACAGTACATTTAACCAACCTCCAATATTTCATTAAACACAAAATAAAACACTTGCCTGTTCAAATTACTCTAAATAAAGACATTCAAATGACCTGTACAGTAAAATGTCATACTGTACCGTGCATTATTCAAAGTGTTAACCATTTCAGCTAAGACAGATGGTTCAATAAGGCTGATGCCTAATCTTTAATTTAATTGTCACACTCCATGCTTGCACAAAAGTAGATTTTTTACTACAGAACAGTACAATATTTTTTACAAAATTTTCTTTAATCAAGACTATTGTATGACATAGAAAATATTTTCAGTTTTTTATTTCTTGGGGAGGCAGACTGAAGCAAATCTTGTTTCTGTCTTTTACTTGCTTGGCATTTGTTTGTTTTTGTGGAGCTGTGATATTTTGAAACTGGTGGCGGCTGCTATTGTCCAACTAGTTCCTCGCTGACCCTGTACAGTATTTCTCGTTATAATATAAAACTTACTCATGGCCAGAAATGTTCGAGTTATGTAATAGCATTAGTGAAGATACAGCCACTGTTACTAACCAACACCTGTTTCATACTGAATAGTCTATGGTTTCTTACCCAAGTTATTGAATTAAGTGATGGGTAAAAATGCAATTAAGGGGTGACACAAAAGAGGCATCTTTCAAAACTAACCTCCAAAGCATAATCTTTCTTTTTGATATCTCGATTGAAAATGGAAGGACCTGTACTGTCTTGTCCTACAAATACCGGTATTCCTTGTTTATTGCAAATACACTGTACATGCACCCAAGTTACTTACAGCTGAGAAAGATCAACAACTTTCTAGATACTTTATGCAGGAGAATAACTCGCATAATACATAAATGACTTGGTCCTACAACTTATGATGTAGATATTTATGGATGCTGGAATACTGTATAGCCTAATCACACGAGTGAAGGATTTCTAGGTACCATGGTGTTAGATCTGCAAGCTCTTGGTGCAGCAAACAAGTCACTTGAATTATGCTTTAGAATCTATCCTTCACTTTGTTCCTAAATCTGGTCCTTTCTCTTTGTCCTACAGGTATGTCTGATGAAGCAATTATGGGCTTGAATTTGCCAACTGGCATTCCTTTTGTTTATGAGCTGGATGTTGATTTTAAACCTGTGGTTTCCATGAAATTCTTGGGAGATGAAGAGACTGTTCGGAAGGCAATGGAAGCAGTAGCAGCCCAAGGCAAGGCCAAGTAATTTTAAATTACCCAGAATAGAAATGAAGTTTGTCACTTCTCCTACCCTTCTCTCCTTACTCACTATACAGTACTTGTAAAAAGCTTCAGAGAAGCAGGAAGAGCCCTTCATGTTCAGTGGTACAGATGGAATTTTGTGTGATGTGGATATTATGTACGGTATTGTAAAAATCTGTCTAGTCATTGGGATGAACTTAAATTAATCATTTGTCTTCATAATTTGTTATACTTTTGTGAGTGTGTATGTTTGTTTCTGTACCAATGTAGGGATAATATTTATTAAAGTTCATCATTAAGGTAATTTTATTTTTTCCTAAATTGTATGCATTGAAGAATTCTTGGAAGAATATAGTAGGTTGGAAAGATCAAGTAGACAGTTAGACCAGAGGAAATTTTGTCCTGCAGCAATAGGTTGGTCTCGATAATGATTTAACTCTCCTCAGTGGTAACCTTAATGAATCTTCAGTGTTGGATGATGCATAGAACCTCGTGGTGGAGGAAAGTTGTTCCCCCCCCCCTTCAAGAAAAAAAAATCTGACACAACCGCTATACTGTACTGTACCTAAATATTTAGATGAGACGTTAATTTAACTGATAGGCATTATGAATCGTCTGATAGATGCTGTCCTGAAATTATTGGGTTCAATTTGAGAAATGGGAAATGTTTCAACTTTATGGATTTTTTTTAATCTAGAGTTTTCAAATTGTTAGCATCCTATAAATACAATACACGTGCAGCACCAATAACTGGCTTTTGTGAGTGATCTCTCATCACCAGTATTTAAGGACGTTCCCAGTATAGCACCAGTTGTCAGTGTGTTGGAATGACTTTGAGGACTAGTATGCCTACTTAGTAACTGGTGGCATGTGCATTGGCTTCTGTGATGTGTGCTCATTAAAGGAAAAAATAATTGCTTCCATATATCTGTTAGTTTTGTATAGAGGTGGAATGAGATGATTCGGGCACGTGTAAAGTATGGAGGAGACCAATTGGGCCGAGATGCAAGAGTTGAATGTAAAGGGGAGGAGAGCAAGGGGTAAGACTAATGAGAGGCTGCAAGAGATCAGGCAGTATGGAGAGTTGCCATCCAATAATCATGACTAACTTGCACAGGCATGGAAAATGGCCATAAACTGGTAGTGGTAGTTATATTTAATCTCAGGTTTGGATCAATGGCTTTGAGCAATACATTATTTTCTATTCTGGCTGTGTAATTCCAGGTTCAGGCACAAATTGGAAATGTAGGATTAGTCTTTCATTTCTGAAGGAAATTTGTTGATGGACTGATCTGTTAAGGCCCATCCACACGATCGAGCAGTGCCCGGCGGGCACGCGCTAAATGCCCGTTATCGGGCAAAATTGGCGGACAAACCAGCGTAGTGCCCGTGCCAATCTTTGAGCGAAATCATGGTCCGCCTGCCTGGTGGTTTGCTGCCGGATATGGAGCGACGACTCTGCCAGACAAACGAGTTGACCCTGGGACCCCTTCACAAATATTAATGTTTTAATATTTTCATTATTAATAATCGATAAAACCGGAAAACCGACATTCCTATAATATTGTCATTAATATTCAACATTGCACAAGCCTGAAATCCAAGACACAGTGTTATTATTGGAACCTCACGTGACTGTCAAAAACAGCTGATCACTATGCCACCGCTGACCTCGGGGGTCGGGGTCCTCAAGTCGGTGAGGTATGAACAGAGATACTGACAGAACGTATGCTAACACTTTGTAAAACCTGAGTTAAGTACTGCAAATGTGATACGTATATGTTCCCAGCTCGGTCCAGATGTCCAGTGTATAACCAAATAAGCTTATGCAATGTACATTATTGGCGTGACAATAAACGGGAGATTGTTTATGTATTATGTAATGAGGACATTCGTGTGTGTTCTTCGTTCCTGCCGCTCTCCTCACTCTAGTCCCACAGCTTCCTGTCTATGCAAATCATAATTCTAACATTATTCAATGAATTTTTATGTACTACAAATCTCACCTGCAAGTAATCTTCCTTGAGTACTTCATACATGACTTGACAAGTTGCAGGTATTATGCGAGACAAACTTTGTTTTGATATCCTCGTTCTATATTGAAGTGACGTGTAGGTGCACCCAGTTGAAAGATATATGAGCATTGCCTCTAGACGAGTCTCTGCAGATATACTCTCCCTCATATACAGTAGGTATCCTGTTTTTTTATATATGGTTCCACTTTTGCTAGAAGTTTGTAAAATGTGTTGGGGTCCATTCTCATGTAATTGGTGAAGTCTTGCTCATGTCCATCTTGCAGTTCACGTAAAATCGTGGCATGACTTCCCAATACAGTACTTTTCTTCGACCTAACCACTCTTTGCACCATTCCCTTTTCTGCATTTGGTTCTTCTTTTTGCACATAGAAGCAATTATTATAGTACACAGCGCTATGCTCTTCGCTTTAACTGTCCGGCGATTATTCCTGTGACACCATGGTGATTGTACCGCACCCGCCACTGTCGACCACCTACTAGCTACAGGCGCCCGACTATGACTGCCTCCTACCACCCCCGTGTGTACAACAACACACAGGCTTTGCCCGGTAGACGGGCAAAGCCCGCCGGGTACTGCTCGATCGTGTGGACCGGGCTTTAGCAGTACAGTACAGTACTGAAAATAGAGAAAACAATGTATAGTAATATCAAGATGAAGAGAAATACTGTATGAGGTATTTTTTGGCAGTAGCAGTTTTAACCTCAAAAAGGATCACTCCTAAAATTATCAATATAAAGGAGAAAAATTTTACAATTATTGAATTTTGTAAAAAAAATTTATTTCCTAAAAATAGTCTTGCCTACATACATATGCATCTCATGACCAGGTGAACATAGGAATATTTTCAAGGTGCTTCTTTATTTATTACATTAAATTTCTCGGCATGTCCAGACAGCCATACTCTTTCTACTGTGGGGTTCTGTATACATGTACAATATATGACTGAGAATGCATTTCTATAAGAGAATGGGTTACTGATAGATGTTACAGAAATATTCAAGATAGAAAAATATAAAACAGTGGCAGTTTCACCCAAACAAAAAGGTGTTGTACTGAAGATACATATTCTTGTGATAATGTATGCATCGGTCAAAACATTACAGTACAAAACCTTTAACAAACTACTGTACTGTACTGCTTGCTTCATCAGGTGTAAGCTAGTAATATTTATAAATAATAGACTATTGCCTGGAAGCATATTTCAAAGAAAATTAAAATATAACACCTGCCATATCAAAATGTTGATCACAATAATAAGGCCTTTATTCAGATTGTGCAGTTAAGCTCAGCAACACATTCAAGGAAAAGCCCTAATGCACTCTGAAGAGAGACATGAGCACATATGTAATGTGAGATACAGTATTTACAATTACCTGTATGAAAAATAAATCAAAGTTTGATGGTATGTGCTGAATATAGTAATGCAGTGCCAACACTGGTCAATACTATAATTTTAGTTGTAATATTATTCCAAGAACAGCTGTATGCACCAATAGATTGTGTGCACACAATAAAGCTTCAAAATGGGATTGATACTTAAATACAGCACCATAAAGATGCACTGTTATGGCTTAGCATTATGCATGTGATCACAGTTGAGTCAGTGAGTACTACTTTTCTTTGATAACTTGAACAATAATGTTCATGTGTACATCAACTGTATTTAACCTGTTTAACACCTTGATGTTAATATTACTTGACTAGTCTTTGGCTTCAAATTTGAAGAAGTGTTGGGTATGTAATTAATCATCAGAATACACAGCTTCACACTGATCATTTATCATGTGAAACAAATAACTTTATGGAACTACAATGATTTATATTACTTTATTGTAGACATTTTTCTTTATCTTTTAATTGTTGCTGACAAGTCTACACCAACTCACAACTGCAGTATACAGTACAGTATATGAACAGCTGGGGATTTCGAGGGCATAGTTTTAATAATGTCAACACTCAATGAGATAATGTTATTTGCATATATATTTTTTCTACATTAAATTTTTGAGTGGCACCAACATTGAATAAAGGTGTACAGTAATAAGAAAAAGCCACTGAACAAATGAAGGCCTCTGACCATTCCCTGATTCAAAGAGTTAACATCATCTAGTTACCGTATTGACTTAAACCTACAAAAGTTGGGTCACCCCCGAAGAGACAACCCAAGGTGTCATGGTGTGGGAAGACAGAGAACAGATACAGCCTTACAAGTTATTAGAGAAACCACAAATTTCAGGCTACTTTATGAAGTTACAGCATTTTATTGATATGTTGGCTTTCCTATTATATTATTTAGATGTCATAGCATACAGTATTTGTTTACTCTTAATATGAAAACTTTTTAGAGTAGTGTACTGTATTTTGATTAAGAGAAAAACAATATTGTATTAATTTGAACTTGTGTAAAGGAAGTTTAGATGTCCATATTCGATATTGAGCATTACAGTACTATGACAAGAATCCTTTTATATTTTTTATTTAATGAATTAAAGGCAAAATTACTCTTAATCAGTCCTGTGGGTAATACTGAACCTAGCTTCTGAAGCTATAGGGTACATTTTTCAAGAAATTTTTTTTGAAGAAAACGTGTTTCTTACTTGTGGGTTCAGGACAAAAATTCATTTGGATTTACAAGAGTGATTTTTTCCTCTTACAACATGAAGTGATTTATGTTGTGGGTGTGGGGCTGGTTTGTTTTCATTTACTTTAGTCATTAATACTGTAGACCCAATCTATAAAAACAAACACAGTGGTTTGTTCCCAGATAAAAGCACAGTTCATTTATATTTTTTCTTCATTTGTTAATGAAAACAAACTAGTCACTGGTGAAGGCAATGTATAAGTGCCTGTTTGCTAGAGAGGAAAATAAAAAAAACTTATAAACCCTAAAAGTTTTCTCTGTCTGTAAGAAACACTCTTTCTTCTCCACAATTTGTTATAAGAATGTGTAGTTTATTTATAAAACTTACCTTCATTATTACCCTCTAGTGCATTTTGGACCAAAGCAAAGTACAGTAGTAAAATGTAAACAGTGGTAATGTGATAAAACCTCCTCATTTATTATAGTAAAAGCAAAATGCATAAATACCCTTTAAGACTCTCAACCCAACATGCAGAATACTATACGTTGAACAGTGCTTCAAATCATTATGACTTTTGAAACAAAACTTTTGTTCAGGTACTGTACAAACTGCCTCCATCATATGGGGGGAGATTCTTCTTGGACCACCTTATCAGAAATATAGGAAATGGTACAGAGCCTGTGACTTACAAAAGAATGAACATGATTTGGCTACAGTAGTTGTGCTTAAATATTGTCATACAATGACCAAACTCTTGCTCTTCACCAGCATCTTTGACCTTCGACACTAGTGAGCCTTAAGTGCCACATCTTCTCCCTCACTAGCATTCCCATTGGTGGTGGTACTCTCAGAACCAATGTTCCCAAAGATCAATGAAGCAAAACTGGCTGATGTTGTTGGGACATTATCTGTCTTGTTTACCAATGGGGTGCTCTGTGAGGCTGAGGTGGTGGTATTGGCAGTAGACGAGGAAGATTCATTGAGTGAAGAGGTTACATTGGATGTTTTTGGGGAACTAGTTGAAGATTTTTCAGTGGGTGTCTGTACTTGTGTGGGTTTCGTAGAAGTTGAGCTGGTCATAGTATTATTAGACTGCAGGTTCTGGCTAGGTATGTAGTTGAGCATGGTGGCAGCCCAGGTGTGTGCATGGTATTCTCCACCTTCACCACCCAGCTCAGCAGGAAGAAGTCTTGGTGGTACCTGAGCATGTAGAGTTGCTAGATTGTTCCCATGTACATGTATCTGCAACACAAAATAATTTGTTATATATGGTGGGCAAAAAATCTAATAAAATGTTTACTTACATGAATTTTGCGTTGAATGTAATGAAATTACACTTGAAAAATTAATTATTCTAATCATTTGGCAACAGTAGAGATCCTGATACAAATTCAATGAACTAACCCTGGAGCGAAGTTTTTCCTTGAGGAAGGGTCGAGCGAGACTCAGTGCTGCCTCCACATACCATGGTTGGTTGACTAGGTGCAAAGCTCCCAAGCGTAAAGGAAATGCATCCTAAGGAAAAGAAGATTTTATTATTGTCAAGATTAACATTGGATTGACATTAATTAATATTGAAGAATTAAAAATCTACATGTTTGCGAATAATTTGTGTTAGTTATCTTAGTCAACACGATTCCTCTCTTGAACATAATGGCAGTTCTTATACTACACTGGTATCTTTCCCACCATTCCCTGGCCCATCAATTCCAGAAGGGAAAAGTTTTCAGTGATATGAATGTTGCTTGTTAAATTGATCATTAAAAACTGTATTCCAGAGATCAGTGCTACCATCATTCTAGATATTGACTGGTTACACTGCAGTGAGGTCACACTTGTGGATGCCTGTCTTTTATTCTATTATCATCCTTACAGGAATTAAGAAAGTTTTCTACTGTAGTGTCCTCCACACAATTACTGTACTGGATTATCATTAATATAACACATTGTGAGCGTCCGAACAAATTGTATTAGAAGATAGCCACAATTATCTTTTGAAAATGCACAGGTAACTTTAATACTGAAATCTCCTACATTTCATTGGTGCCAAAAGTACACAGAACACATTGTATACTGTATATGTACAATTAAACTTTTTAATTCTGTATTTACCTGAAGTCCATCTAGCATAAGTCTAAGAAGCTTTGGTGACAAACTTGTGGTGAGCCTTGCTGGGAAATTTGACCAATCAAGAATGGCTACTACACCCGCTGCTTGAACTGCCTCATCTTCCACCAATCGTTCCAACGTTAGCAGGACAGCCTGGTATACGGTACGCACATCATATCTGAGAAAATGTAAGCTGTAAGTGAGCTTTGTGAGTAGAAAATTAATTTGCTGAAATTTCTGGTGCAGTACCATATTTGTTTGAGACAAGTACAGGTAGTACAAATTACTTGAGTTCACCTCATGTTGTTTGCAGTTGAAGGTTTTAACTGTACTACTGTGTTACAGTACACACTGAATTACTGTACACTATATTAAGACCTACAATCATAATGATGCTTTATAGAAAAAAATGCTACTTTAAATATATAAAATTTGACATTGTAACCCCTTGGGTACTCAGGTCTCTCTCTACTGAATAAAATCGTCTGGGCAAAAGACAAATAAACTACTGAATTAAAAGTGACGTCCAGTAGTGAAAGGGTTAATACAGATAATAATCTCAATTCATTGTAAATCACTTATTTGGCATCTGAGCCTAAGTTTGTTAAGATGTTTAAAAACAAAGCAAAATCAAAATACTGTACTGAACAGTACTGTAGAGTTCGTGTTTATTTAACATATTTCTATTCACTGCATGTAAACTTCCTAAATATATTTTCCTTACCTAGAATGGTCCCAGTTGCTGGCTAAAAGCACAATGATAGGTCTCCCACAAGGATCTCTCTCTGCCAACACCCCAGGTAAGCCATCCAATAATGCTGTCTGTATTCCTGTCTCGCTGCCTCCGCCACCACATTCTCCTCCTCCACTCCCAACATTTAATCCACGGAACAATTCACGGTGACGTTGTCGGTACTCAAAGTAACGGCACAGGAGGAGGAAAGCATCTCCCACCCGGAATTTTTTAGCCCTTAGAAAGCGCAGCAAGAAGGGATGATCAGTCCTCAGGAATGCTGATATGGAGAGAAAAAAGTCAAATATTGTATATACAACACAGTACTGTATGTACTGTACAGTGGTGCAATGCAGCCCTAAATATATATGAAACAATTTCTATATATTTAAGAATGCTTTAATACTGTATTCTACTAGGGCACAGGGCCTATGAATGGAAGCAGGAGAGGAGAATGTGAATTAATTTTACACCTAAAAAATACAGAACATATGAATGGTCCATGTGTGGGTGGACCAGGGAAGGGTGAGGAGCTTTGGTCCATGTGTGGGTGTGGACCAGGGGAGGGTGAGGAGCTTTGGTCCATGTGTGAGTGGACCAGGGGAGGGTGAGGAGCTTTGGTCCATGTGTGGGTGTGGACCAGGGGAGGGTGAGGAGCTTTGGTCCATGTGTGGGTGTGGACCAGGGGAGGGTGAGGAGCTTTGGTCCATGTGTGGGTGTGGACCAGGGGAGGGTGAGGAGCTTTGGTCCATGTGTGAGTGGACCAGGGGAGGGTGAGCTTTGGTCCATGTGTGGGTGTGGACCAGGGGAGGGTGAGGAGCTTTGGTCCATGTGGGTGTGGACCAGGGGAGGGTGAGGAGCTGGTCCATGTGTGGGTGTGTGGACCAGGGGAGGGTGAGGAGCTTTGGTCCATGTGTGGGTGTGGACCAGGGTGAGGCTTTGGTCCATGTGTGGGTGTGGACCAGGGGAGGGTGAGGAGCTTTGGTCCATGTGTGGGTGTGGACCAGGGGTGAGGGCTTTGGTCCATGAGGAGGCTGGTCCATGTGGGGTGTGGACCAGGGAGGGTGAGCTTTGGTCCATGTGTGAGTGGACCAGGAGAGGGTGGCTTTGGTCCGTGTAAGTGGACCAGGGAGGCTGAGGAACTTTGGTCCATGTGTGGGTGTGGACCAGGGGGTGAGAACTTTGGTCCATGTGTGAGTGGAACCAAGGGAGGGTGAGTAGCTTTGGTCCATGTGTGGTGTGGACCAGGAGAGGGTGAGAACTTTGGTCCATGTGAGTGGACCAGGGAGGGTGAGGAACTTTGGTCCATGTGTGGGTGTGGACCAGGGGAGGGTGAGGAACTTTGGTCCATGTGTGGGTGTGGACCAGGAGAGGGTGAGGAGCTTTGGTCCATGTGTGAGTGGACTAGGGGAGGGTGAGGAACTTTGGTCCATGTGTGGGTGTGGACCAGGAGAGGGTGAGGAGCTTTGATCCATGTGTGAGTGGACCAGGAGAGGGTGAGGAACTTTGGTCCATGTGTGAGTGTGGACCAGGAGAGGGTGAGGAGCTTTGGTCCATGTGTGGGTGTGGAGTTGACACTTACTGTGCAGTCATAGAAGGGTTGATTTAGCCTAGTACTGTACCACACATCGGACCTATTACTGAAGGTTTTCATTATTCACGCTGAGGTAAGTTGACTTAGGGATAACTTACCCACGTCAGGTCTGGTTGGAAGGAGGGCATGAAGCTGCTGTATGGCATGAGTCTTGTCTGGCAGAGGTGTCACATCATTCTTGGTCTTCTCCAGACCCAAGTCATCACATGTGTAGGGAGAAGTCATGTGTCGGTTCCAGGGGCCGTTTAGCTCACAAACATCCATATCTGGGGGCGCCGTCTTGAGCGCTCCCCTAAGGGCAGCCCGCAGCAGTTTGTCTATGTGGTCTCACCCTACAACACACCCACCACACCCTGTGAGGATTTTTCCCTCACAAAATATACTTGATGCTGTATCCACCACCAGTTGACCCTTAGAATTTTTCAATGAGCTGCCTGCAACACGATGGGGCGTATCAGTCTTAGCGACAGCTTGACAGTTTCTCTGTCAAGGTGACGACTTACACATCTGAAAAAAAAGTAATTATATGAAGTTACTATTCGAACAAGCTACATAATAAATCGCATAAATTATTTGCACAGTATTAGTTACACTGTTTCAAACCATGTTAATACAAATTAAAACATGATAATGCATTAAGATGTAGAATATATATGGAAAAACTTAGTTTATGTATTATTTAAAAAAATATTTCCTTTATCAAAATAATACCATCACTACCCTCACTCAATGACGGCGACTCGCTCGACTCAATATCCCACAAACTTTTAATATCATTAAGCAAATTAAAAATAGTTACTCAATATTTACTTCCAGAAGTACCTTTCGTTACAGGCAACTATTAATTGAGTTGTTTTGACGGCAATATACCACCAGATTAGCTGTAACGGGGTGATTAATCTTCCATAGTTTTTGAATATTTGTTGTCTATTGTATTACCTGACGAAATTTACCCGCTTAACCCCTTGGGTGTGGAGGTCTCTGTGCTGAATAAAGTTGTCTGGCGTTAGCCAAATATGCTATTAAAAATGGCGTCCCGTAGTGAAGGGCTAAAAGTCCTAGTTATTGGAACACTACATCCGGGGTTGGCAACAATTCCATTAACATGATGACAGCAACATATCTCATTCAATATATCGTAAATTTATTTATAAAATTAATTATGTAAATTGATATTGAAATAAAAAACAAAAAAGATGTCAGAGTCCTATTATTAGTTCTGTAAATTGACACTTCCCCGATTCTCGTCTGAAGACTTACTCACAGACCCGCGGACGGCAGTCAAATTGGGTTTCACGTCACGACTCGAGTGTGTTTAGTGCAAATGGTAACGTGAACAGCTCATTTTTATGTGAAGACGAAGAAATTTAGTACTGAACAACTGCAGTGAATTTGGATCACCTGAAGAATCGTCACCCCAGAATGTCCACCTGAAGAATTGTCATCCCTGGGATGTCATGCCACATGAATTCTTGAAGGTAAGAATTTAAAAAGCTTCGTTTGCAGACGAGCATGGTCTTGATGTAACTCTTGTTCTTGTTCCAATATGATTCAATCGTTTGTGTGTGCACACCAGTATTCACATCCACAAAATTGACTGAGTGGTTCATAGTTCTGTGCGTGTATCCAAGACCTTGACTATTGCGGTATGCTCTCCACCGCATAACTTTAGAGGAATCATCACACAACAGTGGTAGGACGACAGTTTGGAAGGTATTGCCTGCCATGGTCGACTGATGATTAGGACTAAACATTTTTGAGCCCACTATTATATAGTCCTCCTACCTGACTGGAGGGTCCTGACTCCACTAACCCGATGATTAACAACCGTGGAGGGTCCTGACCCCACCTGGAGAATTGTCACCCCAGGTGTTGCCACCTGAAGAATCGTCACCCCAGGATATCCCACCTGAAGAATTGTCACCCTGCCGGACTCTGGGGTGACAATTCTTCAGGTGTCATTTATAACAAAATCAAGGTCTGGAAAATCCTGAACACCGAGTCATTGGACGACAACAACTGGACTTGGATGTTTTTGTAGAGTACCTTCACCTGAATTTTTAGAGGCCGTAGCAACTTCCATATTCTATCCTAAACTTCCCTTCCCCCTATTATTTTCCCTTTGAAACAGGGGCCAGAGGCTATGGTTAAGATTCAGTATATAGCGAGAAAGAAAAAATATATCTACCGTTTCTAGCGCAAATTTATATTTTTTATCGGTAACATGCAAAATAAACAGCTAGGGTGACGGGGAAGAGGGTAAAGATGGGACTGAAGTAAAATTAAATGGAGTAAAGCCAGTGACCCCTCGCTTTAACGTGAGTTATACAGAAGAGTGTTTCATTTATTTTGTTTGCTAGTGAGAGGTGGTCGATATGAGAAAATTAAAATTGAAGAACGTGAATTGTAGTGAAGGTTTTCACTTTTCCTGTACAATATCAATATTTCCCCGTCCATCCTTCAGTATCAATTTTCGTTGGCCCGGTCGGGGCTCCTGATACTCTACCCTGGAAAATTATATGGATAATTTGGGCGGTAATTAATTGAGTAAAACTGACAAGAATTATGGTGTCTTAAGTTGTGATTCTGTACTACGAATTGCAACCGAGAAACCCAACCTACCTAATAAATTTAATTGCAAAATAACTCGACACCACCATTATAATATTAGTTAATATAAACGAGGTACAACGAATATTGCAGATTGTTTTGCTCAAGAACGAAACACTAAAAAATAGAAAAATCACCACCTCCCCTCATATCTGGGATCTTTTCACTTTTTTTTTAAACAGCAGTTGTTCTACCGAGCTTCGTACGATTGTACCAGCCCTTCATGTCTACTCAGTATCCATCCGACTGGAAAAGCATTTTCTGTTGTAAGCTACAACCCTTATACTGTACTGCAGAGCCTTTGTGCACTACAACTCATTTATACTCAGAACATCTCTGAGGAACTCCCCCTCCACATATACTATATCCATTGATATTCCATCTGCAATTTATAACTATTGAATGCTAGTGACGGGACACGGTCTGGTGGAATGGACAATAAATACAGTACCTTTATAGAATATCAGTCTTAAGGAGGCGGAAGTTATAATACTGGAATCTCGAATTTCAATCGAATTTTTTTGTTATTAAATCGAATTGCCAGTATCATTTTAGCTTTAAATTTATGGAAGATAAGTTGGGAAAACATTTTTATTTTGTTTCTAGCGAGACTATGTGGACAAGATTTCTTGTTTAAATATTAGAGAAAAATATTGGGCAGATACGGAGAAGTTTTTAGTGCCGGGTCATTACGGAGAGCAACACCGCCCAGCATTGATTTTGCTGTAATTAAACTGTAACACCAAGCTTACAGATTACAGATTGTCCACGAGGGGGCTAGTTTATTGGGCACCCCCTTACATCCTGTGCAAGGTGAAGCGCAGAAGCGTTTACAGCGCCCAACTGGGAAGCATGCGGAGTTCATGCTTGCCTTTATGACTCATGCATTAAGGGCGTAAAGGCCTGAAGGGTCATGGGTTTTGTCAGCAAGTTACATAAAGTGACAGTATGATGAGTGTGTGGGGGGAAATTCCCGGTACAATTTATCTGTTTATGGCAAAGTGTGGCAGGTCCCTAATAATGTCAAGTGCCAGGCCTGTCACTGGGAGGAGGGATATCTGGTCAGGGAGGGAAGAGGTGTTGGTAACGGCTGGGGACCTGTAGGAGGTGGTCATAGGGCAAATGAGGACCAATAGTTCTGTAAACTACCCCGGGCCAGTCCAGGTTAGAGTCGGCAGCGTGGGGTGACAACCCTCCCTCTCCTCTCCTCACCGCCCACTCGACTCGCTGCCTTGACAACGTGAGTTCACCAGCCGTCAGCAATCCCATCTGTAGGCATCGACCGTCTTGTCTAATCCAGCAGTTGTCGACAGTTGTCTAACCACTGGCAATTCTGTCTCTCAGGCGTGGACCATTGCGCCTTGCTGCCGTCTGCCATGCAGCTGCCCCTCAGATTACCGTTGACTCATTCATTACTCATAGACTACCATTCTAATAGCAGTCGACGCTGGAACGATTTGCCAGACTACCAACCACTACCACATACCTACCTAACACTACCACATACCTACCAAACGTTACCACATACCTACCAAACACTACCACATACCTACCAACCACTACCACATACCTACCAACCACTACCACATACCTACCAACCACTACCACATACCTACCAAACACTACCACATACGTACCAAACACTACCACATACCTACCAACCACTACCACATACCTACCAACCACTACCACATACCTACCAATCACTACCACATACCTACCAAACACTACCACATACCTACAAATCACTACCACATACTGTACCTACCACCACATACCTACCATACCACTACCACATACTGTACCTACCAACCACTACCACATACCACCAACCACTACACTGTACCTACCACACCATACCTACCACCACTACCTACCACACCTACTACCACTACCATACTGTACCTGCTACACCAACCACTACCACTACCACATGCTGTACTACCAGCCACTACCACATACCTATACTGTGCCTACCAACCACTACCACATGCCTACTACTACCAACCACTACCACATACCTACAGCCACTACTACATACTGTGCCTACCCACTACCACAACCTACAACATACCACATGCCAACCAACCACCCTACCACCACTACCACATACCTACCAACCACTACCACATACTGTACCACCACTACTACCACATACTACCAACCACACCACATACCTACCAACCACTACACATACTGTACCTACGAACCACTACCATACCTACCACCACTGCAAACTACTACCACATACTGTACCTACGACCACTACCACATACCTACCAAACTACCACATGCCTACCAACACTACCACATACACCACAGACCACTACCACATACCACATACCTGCTAACCACAACCACTACCACATACCTACCTGCCTACCACACATACTGCCTGCAGACCACTACCACGCTTACCAGCCACTACCACATACTGTGTACACGAACCACTACCACATACCTACCAAACACTACCACATACCTACCAAACACTACCACATACCTGCTAACCACTACCACATACCTACTAACCACTACCACATACCTACGAACCACTACCACATAACTACGAACCACTACCACATACCTACCAAACACTACCACATACCTACCAAACACTACCACATACCTACCAAACACTACCACATACCTACCAACCACTACCACATACCTACCAACCACTACCACATACCTACCAACCACTACCACATACCTACCAACCACTACCACATACCTACCAACCACTACCACATACCTAACAACAACTACCACATACTTACCAAACGTTACCACATACCTAACAACAACTACCACATACCTACCAAACGTTACCACATCTTAATATCGCCACGTACAGAACAAATAACTTGTTTCTTTAAAGTCTAAAGGAGCTAAAT